TTGATTCCTTATTTGTAGTTTGTGTAGGTCTGTATAAATTCGCACAGGCAGAAAGGAACTTATTAATGCAGCTTATATACTTCTGAGAGCCAAGATTCAGGCCTGCCACAGATATTTCCACTCGTTTCTGGAAGCGGAATGCTTTTAAAGTCAAATTATCACACACATCTTCCTGTTTGCCAGTGAAGATGTTTGAACTTTGTGTGCAAGTGCATGTGTGAAAGAGAGAGAGAGCGCACATATATATCTCACAAGCTGCACTCCTTCCTTAAGAAAACTCCAGAGCACTGCTCACAGATAGCTTCATCCCTGTCTCGACACCCCTGAAAAGGCTTCGGTAAGCCCTTCCGCACTCAGTCTGAGACTGACTGACTGACTCTGTCTAGAGGCAGAGTGCAGGACGCAGATAACACTTCTCTCAGTTTAGGAGCTGCAAACACTCTGTAACTCTTGAAAAGTGGAAATGAAGCTGTTTTCCATCTGGATTCTTAATGTGACAGAATGAACAACAATGTGGGATTGAGCTGAGAAAATCAGCTTAATTAATTCAACTAATGAATTATATTTACATGATAGATTTTATACTGGATACACTACTATTGTATAAAGTCTGTATGATTTTTTTTATGTCTTTGAAAGAAGTCTCTGCTGCATTTATTTGATCAAAAATACAGTAAAAAAAATAATACTGAGAAATCATTAAAAATTACTGATGACAAAGCTGAACTTTCAGCGGCCATCCAGGCTTCAGTGCATGAATTGAAAGCTGTTAAACATTTTTGGGGAAATCTATTTTTATATTTCTTCAGCATTTTGATGAATAGAAAGTTCAGTAGAAAAGCAATTAGAATTGTGTAACATTTTAAATGATCAATTTAAGCAATTTATTACAACCTTACTGAATAAAACTATTTCTTTTTTCTTACTAAACTTATGATACCAACTGATAAAACACAAAACCGATATATATTTACATAGAGGTTAAATGATTTCACAAAGTATTTATCCTTTTCTCCCATTAGCCTGTATCAGAATTAAAGGAATAGTTCACAAATTCTGTTATCATTTACTCAGTTTCAAACCTGTATGAATTTCTTTCTTCTGCTGAACTCATTAGAAGATATTTTGAAGAATGTCGGTAACCAAAGATTTGATGCACTTTGTCTATTAGTGAAGTTACACCAGACTACTCCTTTAAGGAAATAAAAAGACAAATTCAAATTGAACTTCAAAATCCAACATGAAGTTCAGTGTGTCTCATTTCACAAAAGTGTCAATGACTCCAAACTCTCTCTGTTCATGGATGAGCAATTACACAAATGAATCACAGGATATTACGCTCCACTGTGCCACTTTGGCTCAAATTAAAAACCTCTCTGCCCTTTTTCGCCTTCAGAACTGATGAACCAGTAAATAAGCCAAGTATAATAGATCCAACAAGTAAATGTGTCAGACTTATTTCTAGAATCGGTATCTAGGCTCTGTACATGCAGAAAGAGGTTGTTCACAGTAAACTGCAGCAGCTATGAAATAATGGGTTTATAAACATGAATTATGATTTCTCGCTCTTGCTCTTATGATCGCATGTGATTCTTGCTAAAAATGTTTTGTCAATTACGGTGACAATTATCTCAGTGAGTACATTTATCTAATCATTATTCTTGAATGATCTTATGGAAGTGTCATGAGGTTGATGGCTTCAATATGCTCAGTGTTTTTTGAGTAAATCATGCGAAAAGATTCAGGAAACTGTCCACCCACAAGTCTGCCCTCTGCCCAGAAATTATAGACCTTAGACATATGAGCTTGAGCCACGAAAATGTGTGGAAAGACTGTGGGAGTTTGGGGAAATGCTTTTTGCTGAATGTGAAAGTGCATGCCCGGAGCAAAATTGCTCAGAGGACGTTCTTTCATATCCCAGGAGACTTTAATGACCTCTCAATTTTCATATCAATCAAAAATTAAAGGGTGTTGGATGTGACCTCCACTGGCTCTTTTGATGAGAGTTCAATCTCTGAGTGATGATTGCAGACTTATCTAAAACTCATGCAAGGTCACTGGGGTATTTTTCTCAAGAGAAAAATCGGAGAAGCAAGAGAATTAAGAATTAAGCGCTCCTTAAAAGAAAAATCGAGACATTAAAGACATCTCCTTCGTGATTTTTTTACTGTTGGTGTGGCCCTCAGAGGCCAATCACACAATAGCGTTTTGTGTAAAAAAATAAAGAAGAGACACGCGGAACAAAAACACATTCTAGAGAGGAGTGTATAGGGGTAATGTATTACAAGTAATAATAGTTATGTAATCAGATTACTTTTTCATGTAACCAGTAAAGCATTAAAAATTCACAACAAAATATCTGAGCGACTCTTTCAGCTTTGGGTTAGCTGAAAGATTCGCTCAGATATTTTGTTGTGAATTTTTAATTCCCTAACGCAAGTTACGTTGTTTTTCCATTTATTGACTCTCCCGTCTCCATGTTGAGAGAAATTGGGAGTAGGTGCTCTCTCTAAACATATAGTTTTAGACTAAATGTAAGCTTCCATTTACTCATCTCACTTGCACAAATACAGATTCCTCAAAATGAATATACACAGTGAAAGGCAACCCTGCAATAATTAAATGTTAAATAATATAAATATACTTTATGTATTTAATATCATTATATTAACCAGTCTTTGCTGCTAACCTTTGATGATCGAATTCAACGCCCCCAAAAATAAGCAAAAATGTGTTGAACGTTCCTCTTCTGCAATCCAAAATGCTACAGAGCTGCATCATTCTAATGTACGTGTGAATTTGCATTTCCTTCGGCTTATTCATTTCACTTTTTTTGTGAAAAGGCCTTTACATTTGCCAAAACTTTATATTATCATTATTATTATTAAAAAATAAACAAGCGAGCCCACCCTAGGTCATAAAAACGAACGCAAATATAACTCAAAGCAATAGTTTCAATAAAAGTAACTAATTAACTCTAGTAACAGTATAGTTAGTAACAGTAGTCATGTTTAGGGAGTAACGCAATATAGTAAAGCAATACTAAAAAGTAACTTTCCTCAACAGTGGTCCAGAAGTGCATCTTCTGAGTGCCATGTTTTAAGAATGCTGTGTTATGCGCAAGATGCTGCAAAATACTCAAGGGCAATGGTCAAACAATGGTCTCTTGAGCACGGTTTTACAAAGAAAAACAATAGGAAAACAGCAGTGGAATACAAAAATGCATTCTGTGTGAACAGGCCCAAGGGCTATTCAATATGTTTGTCCATGCCTAGCGTAGCCAGAGTGAAAGTTGTCTGTTTAAAAATATGGTCTTTTTTTATAAATGTCAAAAAGTATCTAATAGTTTTAAGCCATTGCACGACTGCAGTGGCAGAGGGTGCATGTAGTGCAGTGGGTGAGCAGCAGAGGGGGTGGAAAGAGAGTGAATGCCATCATATGTGAATCATCTGATAAAAAGCCCCAGGGAAAGTGATGGACAGCTCATGATGTATGAACCTTAAATTATGCAAAATACATGTGTGATGACTGCAGACGATTTAGATCAGCTCAAGGGAGAAAATATGCAGAAAGTTGAATTTGATTTTATATGAGAGAAATAAATGTATTTTATAAATGTACTACAAAACAAAGGCATTTACTGTCAGATTACTATATAGATTGTAATGTATAGCTGTCACATTGCACCACTCTGGTACTTTGTGCTCCCGGTCACAAACAAGCAGCTTCAATCATTCATAAATGTACCATAAAATAACTCAAGTCAAGTTAAGTGCTATTGCTCTATATCTTGGTAAAAAGGACTGACAGTAACAAGAGCTGATCAAATCTCTTATGGTACAGATGGAGTTTTGAGGCAGAGGCTGGATTTTTTGTAGGCCTAGTTCACATTAATGGCACAATGTGAGCCTGCTGTTGAAGTTTCAAAGCTGCTTTTTCACATGTGCTGCTTGTGAGTGTGGTGTGAATTCAGAGAAAAATTCTGAAATAATTCTTGTCAGGTGTTTTACAGATATGCACCTGTTCAAACCATATGTATTTTCTTGGAACAAGAGTAATTTCCCAGTAAAAGTATAACTGAGGAGTTTTAGTTTTAGGGTACTTGCCTTGAAATATGGAAGACTAACTAAACCAGTGCATATAATGTAATTTTTTTTTTTTTAAAAGCCTTTTTTCGCATTGGTAACCTACTCTGTTACAATGTAGGCTACGCAGTGCAGCCTGTGTTCTCGCTAAATTGCTCCCAAGATTGTTGCCTATCAGAATAAGTAGGCCCTATTAATTGGTTCTAAAGTACTTAAACAATAAATAATTAGTTAATTTTCCTGGATGTTACCCCTTTATTCTCCAAATACCTACACGCACTGTGCGTAGACTATAGTTAGGCCTCGAGCCCTCGACTATAATTATCAAAAGTTATGCTGTAAATTCGTTTTACTTACGCAGTACTTTGCGGGCTGTGACACGAAGCGTTAATTGCGTTGCCATTTCTTCCCTTTTGGAACTGAACCTTTTCAAACCAAGGAGAACTATTTCCTTTCCTCTTCTGTCTATCTAGGGCAGGTCGTTGTTTAACCGTTTGATCAGCTGACTGCGTGTCTCCTCCCACGAGTTCAAATCTCATTAAAGCGTGCAGTTCATCTCTCTCCTCCAACAATCTGCTTTTCACTCTCCTTTCTTTACCTTTTTTTCCTTTCTCGTTCTCTCTCCCTCGATCCTCGCCGTATCCAGTGCATTACAGTCTCCACGGTGCACTCGATTTTGGGGAGAGAACTTTGAAAATGAGAACGTGAACAACTCTGGGGAGCCAAGGGGTGAGGGAAAAGATGCAGAACCGTTTCATTGAGTTACGCTGTTGTCAGGGGACTTTAATTGTTTCTGATTTATTTTAATGCAGAACCGAGAGAGAGAGAGAAATACAGATATGGAGAGGGGGGAGTCTGTTGCCCTGTTTTTGTCTAGTTCTTTTGTCACAAGCACTGTCAGCCTTCACAGGAATGAAAGATTTTGTGACAGAACAGCACTAATGACAGAGCTCTCTTTGAGGTGTTTCCCTCTGTCTTTCTTTCTACACGTCTGTCAGTTTTCTCTCGAGTCAAAACAAACAATAATCACGACTTGGCTATACACATGATGTGTTTTTATTCTACCGATATTCTAATTAGCTGCCGTTCTAATGAAAGGTCGGGTTTACTGCTTTAAATCCCAGGATTGACAGGGGCTGTATATCCCAATCGCACTGATTTTTTTTAGAATGCTATTTTTGTCTTCATGACAGTAGCTACTTCAATCTAATATGTCATCGTCAGAAAAGATACAAGAGTTCTGAGCAAGGGGAAAGGCTTGAACTTTGAGTAATGAGACAGCCGTGGACAGATCATTCACAAACATCAGGAGGCACTCGGGAGCTGATTTGTTACCTATTGATGTTAGATGCTAAAATGTCACAGGTTGCTGTGTGCAGACGGTGTGTGTCAGGCTACAGTTGAAGCGTCACGATCTCCAGAGCAATTTCCAAATTTCATTATATCCCTGTCCTTACAAAGAGTTTGCTCACACTACCATCTACTGGCCTCAAGTGGTAGTAATTGTAGCTACTGCAAAGTGCTGTCCATGCTGACTGTCAGATTCTTAAATAATACAATCTCAGAATCAAGATGTTTATGATAATGATGAATGTTAACCTTCAACGTTAAACATTACAAGGCACTTTTTGTTTGAATACTGTCTACACAGACAGACAGATAGATAGATAGATAGATAGATAGATAGATAGATAGATAGATAGATAGATAGATAGATAGATAGATAGATAGATAGATCTTTTCTGTATGTGTGAATCTAATCTATTCCTGACAGCTGGGTTTTATAGCCTCTCCATCAGTCCATTCTGAATGTCCATGAGATGGGTCACATGACTGACTTCCGCCCCCTGGATTGCTCTTCTCAAAGTGGACAACACAAATCCTGTACACCTCCAGCAAAACAATGAGGATGTTCTTGCATGTGAAGAAGATCATCAGCTGGTTCAGAACATTCTCACGTATCATGAGGTACAGACGGTAAATTAGGAAAGGTCCATCCTGCAGACCCACCGTTAACAGAAGGCTCCAGACTTCACTCGAGCAGCAGGAAACGGTCCAGCCAGCTTGGCCATGCTGGGCAGCCTCTGGATGATCTTCCTCCTGGACCTTGGGGTGGCTGGTCTGGGTAAGAACAAGAGGAAACTGCATCAAGGCCCAGGAGAACAAACTTAGCCCAACAATGATCACGGCCTGCTTGGTTTTCACTTGTGGCTCCTTAAAAGTGTCAAAGATGTCCAGGATATCAGCTCCAAGCCCCACGTAAACCATGAGGAGCTGAGATAGCTGGTCACGTGACATGTCGCCCTTCGGCATCAGCCAGCGGCCCAGAACCAACACTATCAACATGGTCTGCTCCAAAGCTTCCACCCAGTTCTCAGGATCAAGTTCCGCCAACCCCTGTCTCACACACACACACATGCACACAAATAGGTTAATCGCCATGGTAACAGACCAGACAGTGAGAGCACACAGCGAGACTGTGATCATTTGAATGGATGAATCAAAAATGTTGTTAAGATGCTATTGTAATACTAGATTAAAAAGGTTCAAACATTTTATAAGAAAAAAATGATTGCTTTGACTCATTGGAGTGCCTGAACAAAAGAACCATCGGAGGATTAGCTTAATGAAATAGGACAACTGAGATGATATGGTTTCCCAAAAAGCTTTTCAGTCAAGTCACTGATTAGCTTTTGCAGCATATTCTTACAAAACATCCTGTGAGCTTTCCACCCACCTGAACGCAAGACAAAGAAAATATCACAGTCATCAGTATTAAAAATATTCAGATACAAAGCTGTCAGGAGGAAATGGAGGTAAACTCTGAACCTTTAAAAACAGGATCAAGTTTCAATGTGTAAAAAGCATTATATATGCAACATATTCGAGCTGGGTTATAAAAAAACAATACAAAACCAACCTACTGTAGAAGCGGTGATATTCAGAATACATAAAACTGCAGCTGAACTCACAACACATAATATAGGAAATCATCAAAATTATTCTTCTAAATTTATTAGGGGCCAAGCACAGAATGTGTGTAGGCACCTATTGTATCCGTTCTCAAAATTATTCTTAGAATAGAACCACTTGCAGAAAAGTTGTAATGGTTTGACATTCTGATAGAAGACAGTCCCAACATCAAATACACCAATTTTGGTGTCTCTAACTCATTGCCTCAAGCGCCAATACCTGTCCAAAGTTTCACTCATATTTATGTTAATAACTTTTGAACCATAAGGTCTAACTAAATTCATTTTCTTCTGATCCCTGAGCTTATGACGATTTGATTGCACCATATGACGCCATTTTATGTCTGACAAAATATGTCCGACATTTTGAATTATCCAAAAAACCTACTTTTTCAAACTCGTCTTAGACGGTTTGTAAGATTTGCACGAAAATTACACCAGATCATCTTCAGGCAGAGGGGACAAAAAGTTATGGGATTCGTCAAACCGTTCTCAAATACCCCACAATCTAATTTTATATAGCGCTTGTGAAAACAGACTTAAAGGGTTAGTTCACCCAAAAATGAAAATTCTGTCAGTATTTACTCACCCTCATGTTGTTCCAACCCTGTAAGACCTTCGTTCATCTTCGGAACACAAATTAAGATATTTAAGATATTAAGATCGCTCCTGCATACAAGTCCATAGGCTTCTTGAGGGAATGACTCTTGCTGGCATCGAAAAGTCATTAAAGACATCGTTAAAATAGTCCATGTGACTACAGTGGCTCAATTTAAACTTTATCAAACGACGAGAATACTTTTTGTGCGCAAAAACAAACAAAAATAACGACTTTATTTCAACTATTCACTTCCTTCTCCATGGGCCTGTAGTCAGTTAACGTAGTGGGATTGCGTAAAGCTACGTCACACGTAGGCTCACTATTGGCCGACGCTGGTCATGTGTGTGATGTGTGTGACGTACAATAACAGAAGCTTATGCTATTAAACTAGAAAGCTGACTCGCGCAGGGGGAGAAATAAACAAATAGTTGAAATAAAGTCGTTATTTTTGTTGTTTTTTGGCGCACAAAAGTGTTCTCGTCGTTTGATAAACTTAAGATTGAGCCCCTGTAGTCATTTGGACTATTTTAACGATGTCTTTAATGACTTTTCGAGGACAGCAAGAGCCAGTCCCTCAAGAAGCCTATGGACTTGTATGCAGGAGCGATCTTAATATCTTAAATATCTTAATTTGTGTTCCGAAGATGAACGAAGGTCTTATGGGGTTGGAACAACATGAGGGTGAGTAAATACTGACAGAATTTTCATTTTTGGGTGAACTAACCCTATAAGGCTGTGTCTTGCAGCATATTCAGACCAAACTTGGTTCATTCTTATGACATTTTTTTTTTACAAAGAATTCTTTCTTAAAAAGATTTTAATCTGGATTATAATCTGGAGGAAGCTATTGTTTTAGTTTTTAGAGTTTTAGAGTCAGGTTTTGCGGTTAAGACGTTTAAAAATATGTACCTGAATCTTTCCCTATAGGCCCTAATAACTCTTTTTAGACAAGACGAGCCAGTGTTACAGGGAACCGCCATGTTCAGATCCATAGTGGGGGGATTAATAGTGTGTGGGTTTGTGATTTTTGTACAGTTCAAAGGTGAAACTGAGCTCTCTACTATCAATCTTCTCCATTTATCCCCCCTCCCAGACATTTTACAGAAAACCGTCTGCTTTCCACGCATGAATCAATTTCCATCCGAGCATTTTATGTTTATTGCTTTCCCAGAAATATGAGTACTGAAACATCCAACACAGTAGAGAGCGAGAGAGAGACAGAGATTTGGTTCAAAGCTGAACTCATTTTTAACTGGTGAGGTCTGAGTTTTACTGTTAACGATTGCTTTCCACCTACCATTGTTAGCGGGATCTGTGAGAAGAATTGTGGGTCAGAGTTTGTGCTCGAGTTGATGGGCAGATTGGACTGTAGGAGGTTCAGCTCCAGGAACCAGACTGATGGAATCACAGTGCACAGATAGAGAAACACCATGGGTGAGAACCTGCAGAAGAGTGGAAGAAACATCATGGACACATTTGCTTATACTTTACTTTCTACTTCTAAAGCCACCAAGTAGTTCTATGTGTGTCAGATGCATCTGATTGGGTGGTAAAGCTGGGTCACACTACAGAGTCCAGTGCTGTAGGCACACAAGCCCAACGTTGACTGCAAATTACTCCCATTAGCTATGCAAATCCCCACTGACACAAGCAAGCCTCTCTAAAGAGCACAGAGACTTCAAAGTGTAGTGTGCAGGAGAGAGATAGTATGCATAGAAAAGTAGTACGGCAGAGAAAGAGGGTTATTAAGGATGAGATGGAGATCATGGTAGAATGAAGGGGATGATGAGAAAGAGGAAGGGAGGGAGGATGTTCTCAGCAGGTCCTCCGTCCATGCCAGTGGGAGGGGAGAGTCTCATTAATACATTCCCTAACACAGCAATGTACTTTTCTGACTGAACGCAACCACGTGCCACTCTGTGTGAATGCAAAGGTTGGGAAGGCAAAGGTTGTTTTTCTCCGTCGCTGTGTTGAGAGAAAGGGTTATTATTATCATCCGTCCCCGCAAGACCGACTGGAGTGACAAGCTTGAAGAAACGAGAAAGTAATTTCCCACGTTCTCGTTAGTGTTAATCATGGCGCCCTGCTTCTAAGCCCCATGTCTTTTTATACCAGAATGTCTGAAGTAACTCAGTAAAGTTATTTTTAAAAAGGCAAAAGCGATTCTCTTTTTTTCTGAGAGTGTCAAGACAATTGGCAAGGCTATTTTTGCCAAATACAACATGTCCTACACAGTCAGTGGAAAGAGTCCTTAATAGGATAGTTCACCAGAAAAAGAAAAAAATCTGTCATCATTTACTCATAGATAGATTTACTCACATGATGTTCCGAATGTAATGTAAATAATATTTCACATTAATACTGTTTTTCCCATATATTTGATCAAATAAACAGCCATTAGTGACTTCTTTTTTAAAAAATCTTACCGACATCAACCTTTTGAAGGACAATGTAGGCCTGTTTTTTTTCTTTTTCTTTAAACAATCAGTCAAAAAAAAGCTCTATTTTAGGGCAATATCCAAGTATGAGCTCTGCAATAATTTCAGGACATCAGGGTCATTATATTTGTGTCTAGGCCCATATGCTAGAACTATGATAGCATTCAATAACCTCACCATTTCCATTCTGCATTGCGTGTGTATTTGATTGTGATTGCCATCTCGACCCCGAGCAGTGCCACCCCCGTCAGCAGCAGCCAATAGGAGGACTCTCCTGTCACCGCCACCACTCGCCACACCGTCAGGACGCCATGCACCGCGAACAAGAAGCGACTCAGAAGAGCCAATAAGATGTTTAGAACCCGGCACATTGTCCAGTCAATATGCAGTCCGAACCATGCAGACAGAACTGGGAAGGACAAAGATTATTTTTTATGATGCATTTTTTTTAAACTATTAATTAAATATTTAAAATACAATACGTGCACCTAAAACGTTATTTAGCTTTATTCCGTTTTGAATTATTCATTCATTGGTAATTTTAATCATTGACTGAATGGTTCTTATATCAATTTAAAAATAAAAACTTACAGTTTCTAATTTAATGAATCAGAATTGTACACCATTAAAACCTATGTGTAAACAAATGCTTAGTCATACTCTGACAAGTTGTCTAACTAGACTCTTTTTAAATGTCAATGTAGTATAAAATGATATCAGACTTACTTTCAGTGGGTTCAGCCAAAGGATCCAGATTCAAATACTGCAAAGTGACTTTTTGAAAATATATTCCACTTCTTTTCACAGATTACCAAAACAAAAGTTTCTACCATATCCACAACCTTCTGTCTACCCCTAAATTGGAGGCAGTCCTTTTATAACTGCAAACACAACTTATCCCCCCTGAGGTTTCAGGGACTGTGAGAGGATGTGAATGGGTGTGTGTGTGTGTATGTATGTGTGTGTGTGTGTCTATCTTGTGCAGATAAAAAGCAGTCTTTTGGAAGAGAGTTGGATGAAGAGTGTGTGAGTGTGTGCATTTTGAGGTTATTGTGACTGTCCCTGATAACACTTCCTGCTGCTGTATGATCATCCATTATGATGTCATCCTTAAGGGCCCCAAGAACAAAGTTATCTCCAATGAGGAGCTAGTCCTTTAGCCGGCATTTTCAGACACATTTTACACATACACACCCTGATTTAACCATGCCACAATAGTACCACCCAAAATCATGGGCAGATAAGACACCTCCACAGAAAAACTGAGTAATGCAACCTTTACAGCTGCTAAGGGATCAATTGAGAATCGGTTATTGTGATTTTCTTTAACTTTACTATAATTTACTACAAAGAGGAAAAACGCCGGACTGCAGCTTTAAACAAATTCTTCTCCCCCTTCACATCTGTCACGATAATTTTAATTTATGAATTTATGTTTTACCACAGTTTAAATAAACCACATATATCTCACGTCACAAGTTCCACAGGGCATCTTTTTTATTATTATTTATCATGAATTCCTTAAATAACAAGACTAATAATATAAGGGCAGATCCTTACAGCACAGCTGATGACGATTTGAAGTGACGCTCGCTCAAGTGATCAAAAATATTCCTATATACAAATAAGATTTCCTTAAGAATAAGAAAATCTTCCGCCCTCATTTTCTTCCCTTGCATCCTTTTTTTTCACATTCAAAGGGAATGGAGATGATACACTAGTAAAGGAAGCAAGGAAAGGAAATGAGGATGCATAAATAAGAATTGAGAAGCACCCCCCAGTTACTTTGTTCATGAATAATGAATCAGTTGAATGAATGATTCAAATGACTCACTCATGAACTTTGTCGCCACCTACTGGCAAACCTACTGTAACCTGCAGAATAATAGGCTACAGGATTCTGATGAACATACCTATTATCATACATAATTAGGAAATAGTATAACGTTATTTAATACTAGGTTAATGTTACAGATCATTTAGGTTGTCCTGGCAAAGACATTAAAATTAAAATGAAATGGGATAGATTACGTTTCATTTTCCTTATAGTGTCAGTCTTTGTGTTATGGTGCCACCTACAGGAATGAAATGTCTATGACATGACAGACTGACTCCCATCACACCACACAATAAATCTAGAGCAAGGCACACGCTACATCAGAAGTGAACATTTGTTTAGGGCGGACAGGTTGTCAGGGGGGATTCAGGTGAAGACAAACTGTGTTTGTGGATGGATTGAGTGGCCATTTATTTTGGTCATTAAGAAATCCATCTCTACTTCTAGCTAGGCCCATCAACCTCACTACCCACTGCTATTTATGGACCCTCTCAGAGTGCTTTTGTCATTCTCCTTCATGAAATCATCAGCATTTTCATAAAGGGAGAAGATGGGAAAAGGCCTACACTTTTAGATCTCTCTCAGGGGAGCGCGGGATATCTGTGAATGATAGAATAGCTTTTGAAGAAATGATCCATCAGCACTCAGTTGCCTTTATAGTCTCCTCAGCAGAGGCTGTCTGTGATGTAGAATGCTGTCAGCGTCTGTAGGCTATGAGATAAAAAAGATCAGAAGTTCGATTTTTGTATGTACATGAATGTACCGGTATTTATACACAAATCACACGGCTCACAACAAAAAACAATGACAGAAACAGATTATGCGTTGAACAATATCATTATTGGCCCAGTTCTTAACCCACCCTGACAGTTATGTAATGTAGCCTATATTGTGTTAATATAATTACAACCCCAAATCAGAAAAAGTTTTGTAAAATGCAATAAAATCAAGAATCTGTGATTTGTTCATTCTATTTAAACTTTTATTAGCTGACAAAAGTACAAAGAAACGTTTTCCAATGTTTTCACTGACAAGCATATTTTGTAAATATGAACAAATTTTGATTTTGATGGCTGCAACACACCCCAAAAAAGTTGGGACAGAGATCAAATAAAAGTGAAAAATTATTAGATTAGAACTATTTTGAAACAGTCCAAAATGACAGGTGAATTGGTAATAGTTAAGGGTATCATCATGTTTGGGTTTAAAAGTGCTTCCTGGACTCTGATGAAGATGTAACTTTACATCAAAACGTTAGTCACTGTTATGTACCTCAAATAGATGTACGTGTTGCACCGGCGATTCTCCTTTTCTACTGTTAAACAGTCTCAAGATAACTTCATTTTTATGGATGTATAAAGTCTCATATCAAGATGTCCTGGCTGAGTCTCACTATATTTGACAACCAGAATATGTCCTAATACCTTTTTGCCTTCCTTTTAAAAAGAAAATTACTTAAAAATATGAATATAATATAAAAATGCCATTGATTGATTAAGTTATATTTGTGGGCTTTTTTTGTTGGCAGTATGAGCCTGAAGTAAGGACTCTAATCTGATAATGCAATACCAACATTTTGCCACAGCGAAGTGCTCTCTAATCGAAGGAGACAGTTTGGGGAGCTCAGCATAGCTTGTACTATTTGAATTACCGTGAACAAAAGGTTGGACCCTGTTTCAATATTTGAACTGATTTTTCTCTCTTGATCCTCTAATGTGCTGGATTGAAGCCAGCAGTCTGAATGGAGCAGATGCTAACTGGAATTCATCCACCCACTTCATATAGTGATCAGCACTAATGAGGAAGATGAGGATCATTTCAAATATTATGTGGGCCACTGGTATTTTTCTAATAATCTGATTCTACATTCAAAGAAAAAAAAAAAGTCAACAAATATAGATAATGCAAATTGGGTACTTCAGATGCTTTAATGTGATCCTATCTGCTTGTATAATGAAATTTAATGATCACTTCCAGGAGCCTTCCTTTATTTAAAACTGTCCATTATGTTCTTCTATTCTCCTCTATCCACAACAAGCAAACCGAGTTGTGTGACAGTAATTCAGACAAAACGATGAGAGGAGACGTACCCTTGATGCCTGTCTACACAGCAATGAGTGTATTTAATTAATGTAATACATCACCATATTTTCTGAATCTCTACCTTGTTGTCAGATGGCTCTGTAAATAAGGAACAAAAAGTACTACGGTAATTCTTCCTCAGAGAAGAGGCTGTGGAGAACAATTGGGAAGTGATCCCACAGAAAGTTAAATCTAAAGGCATGTTTGTCGTTAAACACCAGATATTTTCCATTTGACGGCTTTTAATACCTTAGATATGCTGTCTTTAAAATTAGATATGCAGAGATTTACTCATTGGCAATGCCACATTTATAAAGCACATTTAAAACAGTCACAAGACTGACCAAAGTGCAGTCAAGCGCAAAGCTAAGGATCGAAGATAAACAGCTAAGAAACTACATGTACACTTGCACAGGAGAGACATTAACAAGTTTTAAGAGCTAATGAAAACAAATGGGTTTTACAGCAGCAATTTAAAAACTGATAAAGTAGAAGCCAGGCCTAAGTTGTGCTGCTAAGCTGTTCCACAATCTAGGCCCCACCACCGAAAAGGCTCCGTCTCCTCTGCGTTTGAGCCTAGTAAAAGCCAAGGAACTTGTGATGTTACATTTGACACTGAAGCAGCGTGCAACGAGTACGCAGCGCAATTTTATGGAGCAAATTATGTGCCATAATTAAACAAACGAACCCAGCATTTTGCAAACAAACTCGATTTGCTTTGCAAAGGAAAATTTGACTCGCAAACAAACATAAAACAATTTGCAAAAAAGGTCAATTTGAGCGAAAACGTGGTTTAGTCACCAATATTGTGTTTTACAAATATAAATAAATGAGCCTAGATAATGTTTCACAAATAAATACAAACCATCCTACAAAATTGCATGCAACAAATACCAAATCTAGTGCAAACAAATGCAAATCTGTCTGTTACGATTGTGAGATCTCTCGGCTTGGTTTTCTCACTAATAGCCTATGTCCAGGCAGATTTTCTCGCAAATACAACTTCCTCTTCTAAAACAGCAGACGGCGCTAAAATAGTGGGTTAATTTAGCACTAGTCTCCCTGGAGAAGCACTGATTTGAAATACGCTTGCCTTTGCCTACAGCTAAGGAAAAAGTTTCTGTCTTACTTTATTTATAATAAACATCCTGAGGTTTTCTTTTGCAAAATGTTTATTACATAGACAGAAATCCACATTAGCAAGGGCATTCACGGGCTATGCCCCACTAAACGAGTTACTGTGTTTTCATGTCTCATATCTGTGTAAAATCACAGATCTAATTACCTGTGGCATTTTGCCCTCAACAATGTTAAAGCCCCAGTGGGCTTGTAATAAACATTGTGCAACAATACATTTAAAACGTAACTTGTATGGTTTTGTAGGATTTAAAAAAATTATTTAAATGTTTAATTTAGATTTCCAATACTATAGTATATAGAAGTTTATTAGTGTGAATTTTGTTAACTACAGTAAATGTCACAAACCTGCCTGTTCCTGTCTGTCCTGATCTTTCTATTGCAAGTTAAATTGAGACTATTTGTCTTGGGGATCCTGTCTCAGTGTGGAAAGCCCTGCTGAGCAGGGTTGAAAACCTGTATACCTCATTACTGAGACCATTTGTCCAGCCCCGTCCAGTTCTTGTGTCCCATGCTGAGCAGGTTCTAAAACTTTGTTTCAGAGTGTCTCCACCTCTATGTAACCCCTCCCCCTTGAAAGGTATATCAACTACTTTGTATACTGCCTTAGACAAACTTGGCAAAGATTTTTGGACGAAGCAGACAATGCAACAGCAATAAAGAACCCTGCTTAAAAAGATACACCCGAGAAAAGCCTATTATCTAGGATCATTTCTTTATATTAGTAAAACACAATATTGGTTATTCCACTGCATTTTCAGTCAAATTGAGGGTGCAGCCTTCCAAAAAAACCTGTTTTCTGAATGAAGCACACATACTATAATACAGTGTTGTAGTACTCGAGACTCGGACTCGTCTCGGACTCGGTCTCGAGACCATATTTTAATGGTCTTGGTCTTGTCATGGACTCGTGTCCATTTGGACTCGGAATTGACTCGTACTCGAACATTTTTTTTTAGGACTCCAGAGTCCACTCGAGTTCAATTAAAAATAATTTTTATGATTATTAATGTATGTTAATAAAATGTTTCTTTAAATTGATTGAAACGCCCAGTGATTGGTGATTTTCTAGTGCGCAACTGCGCATGACAAATTTTAATAAAATTACTTTTAACACCACCTACTATGTGGCCTTTTTACCCTAAACTGATCATATTTTTTAAACTCTAAGTAAATTCAGTAAAAAAAAAAAAAAAAAATATTTCTCTAAATAAATAAAAGTAAATTAGGTAATCAACCCTCACTGGTCTCGGTCTCGACTCGGACTCGACCGTCTCTGGTCTCGGACTCGACTCGGACTCGACTCTCTATGGACTCGGTCTTGACTCGGACTCGACTCTCTCTGGTCTCGGTGTCAACTCGGACTCGAGTGAGGTGGTCTCGACTACAACACTGCTATAATAAAATGACACTATTAAGAAATATTATAACATCATTTAATATTAAAAAATGTTGATCACTGTACCCAAGTGTGAATAATCCACAGTACATCATTTTAGGTGGTCTTAAGTTGTGTCCATGTCAGTGGGCCTCAGTGAGCAGGGGGATTTGGGGGCTCTCTGGGGCTCGCAGAGGGCTGACCAAATCAGACACCACTGAACAGATCTGCTGTTTCTGCCCCATTTCTTTATTCAGATTATTCACCTCACTCTCTCTCTCTTTCGGCTTCATCTGTGAAATCCGTTTCTTCACTGCAGGGGCCTGTGAACACAAACAGTAAAATCTAGGTCTGACATATAATGATTACATTTGAATAAAATAATTACACAATATGCCACAATATATATCAGGGGACAGGGGAGACTTACACAGGCCCCTATATAGTATATAGTATGCAAATATTTGCTAAGAAACACCCCCAGATGAAAGGCATTACATTATTGTGGGAGTCGAAAGTATTTGTCTGCATTTTTTTAATAGGTCTAACATCAAACAAACAGGAACAGATTCAAGCACCATTTATAGCGCTGAGATTATGAGCTCAGGAAAGATCAAATTTGTTGGTGCTGCTAAAAATCTATTAATTGCAGTGTGGAGTTTCTTTATAAAACCCAAGGTAGCCTGTGGCAAACAGCATAGATTTAGACCGTACATATGTCCTGAAGATCAAACACACACACACACACACACTACTTAAGTCACTGATTCTAACCCACTGTTGCCATTGAGTGTACCTTTTCATAGCTTTCATTTGGTATACAGTTGTGATGGCCCACTCTTCTACTGCTTCTGCCAGTTCTCTCTGCACTAAAGCCCTGTAGAGAAAGCATTTATTATAGACGGCACTTGTTTGAGCTATGAAGCCACTTAAAGGTGGATCTCTATAGAGAGAGAGATGGTGTATCTGAGATGTTTAAAATGTCTATTGGATAAGTATGACTTATCCAGCATGCATTAAAATAAGCACCAGTGAGTGAGTAAATAAATCAATTAACTTGTAAGTAAAAGTATCATGGTACCATAGACTTTCTAACCGGCAATGCAATAGTTGGATTGTGTTTTTACAAACTTAGTTAAGAATCAGAACTGTTTTCTGAGGTAATCAACAGCAAGCTACATGTAAGTTTGGTGTAGAGCACCTTTTTGACTTTTTATTTTTTTCTCTCTGTCACAGAGTTAGTATCAGTCAGACTTTCTCACTATGATACCCTATTATTTCTGTTGGTTGCACTGCGATCCTGCTGTTTTCTCTGCAGCTGGTTGATGCTTTCCTGTAGAGCCTGGCGAAGCTGGTCTGTTTCTTGTCTCTGAGCCTCCAGTTCTGCCTTCACACTCTCAAGCTCGCCCTGTGTCTCGTATCCCAGCACCTGACTCTCTCTGAGAGAAAGACACAACATAGATTGACAAAAAAAAAACAACAACTTTAATTTACAGTAATATAATATAATATCTATTTTAATATATTTTCAAATGTAATTACTCTTGTATGTATTCTAGTATGCTAATTTGACATTCAAAAAGACATTCACTATTATCAAAAGAATACTACTAATAAATAATAATAATAATAATAATAAATATTACTAATAGTTTTAATAAGCTGCTTAATAATTTTGTGGAAACCATAATACGTTTCCATTTTTTTAAAGAATAGAAAGCTCAAAAGAACAACATATATTTGGAATAGAAAGCTTTTGATCAATGTAATGCATCCTCGCTGAATAAAAGTCCCAATTGCATAAAAGTAAACGTAAAATGTCATTTATTTGAAGAAAGAAATATGACCCCAAAATTTTGAACATTAGTGCATGTACATTGCATTTATTACACATTTATTATTTAACTTTATTTTGAAATTAGACTTATAAAAATTCATTGAGAAAGAGAGCGAGATAATTATTTTTGGTGAGTGTGTTTTTCCTATTGTTTGCACCTGAGTGTGTGTATTTCTCTCTGGTTCTCCTGCAGCAGTAGTTGTTGCTGTTGGCTCTGGGAGTTCTGTTTTTCTAAGCAGGTTCTCACAATCTCCAGGTCTGTTTGTCTCATAGAGACTATGTGCTGTCTCTGATTAGGAGGTATGTGCTTTAAACTAGCACAACCTGACATCTCACCATCACTTAGCTCCAGAGCCTCACGCAGCACTTGCACTAGCTCTAGGTACTAAACGAAAGACGCAAAGAGAGCACAATCTCAGGCCCACAGATGCCCTTTTCACACAATTTAGTTTGAGTTTCCGTGCCATATGTCACTCACTGTTCTCTCACTGAGCTCCAGAGCATCAGACATGTCCAGTCTGGCTGTGCGCTCTCGTGCTGCCTCGGTCAAAGCTTCAGGGAACCCAAAAGCACTCTGTATGTGTAAAATAAGCACACTTAAAACACAGAAAAATGAACACGGATGTCAGAAAGTGTCCCTCTTCTGCTTTATTAACAGCAGCACTTGAACTACTTGAACTCCACAAGCTTGTTTAAAACCTGATGATCACGTTCTCCAGCATGATTTGAGAATGATCCAAAGAGCGACTTGCGCTTCAATGGAATCAAGAACATCAAACGTTCCGTTCAATATGATTCACAGTTTGTGTCACAAATTTGCATCTCTGATTAGTGACCTAGAAATGGTGCAAAACCTTAAATATTTTGTGAATATACTATCATATGTATTTCAGTACTGTAATATATAGAATAAGTGAAGCTACTACCACAGAACTTATGGATCCCCTCTGCGATGCAGATCTCTTCATCCGACTCTGCTTCTCTGGCTCCCCCTGCTGGTTCAGGCGCTCTGTAAACCGCACAGAAGAAAATTGATCATGTTAGGAAATTAGATCAGATCAGGATCACCAAATCCAAAAGTTTGATCATTAGTTAAAAGGGATTGCAAGACTCACTGCTAGGCCACTTCTGTTCTAGAGCTCTGATTCGCTCCCTCATGTCACGCAAACCTTCCTGCTGTTGAAGTATCGCTTCCTCACCGCGATGACCTTTGTGTTTTGACCCCTGATTAATGACATCATTAGGAGCTGTCATGAGTGCCACATCCTGAGAAAACAACATCCATATAACAGTTAGCAGTGTTCATGTGTGATCTATGCGAGTCCGTATGTTTGTGACCCCTTATTCTCCTTTTTTTTTTTTGGCGAATGTACCCTACCATTAATAATTTTGGGGTCGGTAAGATTTTTAAATGTTTTTTAAATGTCTCTTGTGCGTTCTCACGTTTCTCACATCAATGTTGCGTTATCATCCCACTTAAACATCTTTAAGCATGTAACACAGAACATCTTTTTCTTAAGTTGTCTCGATTTTTCATAAAATATGTCTAAATATAGGTAATTTCAGTTTTGTTAATGTTTGTCCAGTTTGTTGCCGATCTCACTTTAGTGTTTCTTAAGGTCTGAAGTGGAACAAGGCTTGTGTTCTCCATCTCTCTGTATGCTGCTGCTTTAATTTTCAGGTCCTCCTCAGTTTGTCTAACAAAAATGGAACAATATCTACTCAGAAACACATTCACATGTTGAGGATTAATTTAGCAGACAATCTTCAAAAAAAAAAAAAAAACACTACTTTGTTTGATAAATTGTTTTATAATGCAAAGATGAGTTTGAGGCCATAGTATGTGTATTTTTCTTTTTGGTCGTACCTCAGTTTTTCTGCCAGATTCTTTGTTACTTCATCTTTCTGTTCCACTAGTTGTGACATCATGGTAAGCTTCTGTGTGAGCATGCTCAGTTGAATCTTCTGGTCTACAACTAAAGCTTTATGACTCTCCAACTCCAACTTCTGCTCTTCACTTAGTTGTCCTGCACAGACAGACACTTGGTAAGAAACAAAGACAAACACAGAATGCAGATGTATTCGATTGTGTTGCTTTGTGTCTGACCTGTCATGTCAGAGAGCCGAGCATGAGCCTGGGCCAGGTCACAACTTAAGGCATTGATGATCTCACTCTGACTGACCACTTCCTGTTGGGATGAGACCAGAGATGCCCTGCAGGACAAATTAGATACTGCATTAATAATTCAAGAACATATTCTGCAAACAGTAGATTGAGTATGATGATCAGTATAGCATACAGTATAGATTAGAAAGTTGAGTTCGGCATGTCCGAGTGAAATGGCCTCTCAAACAAGAAAAAATGTAGGATTTTGTCCATTGGGATTTGATTAGATCGTTGTGGTTTGCTATATTGCTGAGATATCATGAGAGTGACAGATTGTCTTGTCTTCACGCTGGTAAACTCATCATCAGAGAAGAGAAGAGATGTTGTTGCAGGAGGGAGGGGAAGTTATTTTGATTAAAAACTACAGGGGCACATGAATTTAAAAAATAATAATACTGATTTGCACGGATAAATCATTCATAATAACTTTTGCAATATTCCACAAAAAATAAGAATTCCATTAACAGAATAAACACTTGTGGTCTTTTATAAATACATAGCAATAAATGATGTATAGATGGTATTTGGTTATCATTATAATTTTAAATAAACTAGAAGATTTTAAGATATTGACTGAGACAAAAAAAAGAGACATATTTGCAGCTCCAATTTAACAGAGCCTGATCTATGAAATGATTTAAAGAGTGAAACATGGACTGTGTAATTAGTTATTGAGCAAGAGTTTCATAAATAATGCATGAATAAGGCATGCATTATGCATTAACAAGAGCACACTATGTATATTATTCTGCTCACGGTGAATGTGATGACAGAGAAAGGAAATCTGTTTACAAAGTAACTTGCAATATATAAATCGTGCAGAGCTGTTGCATCTGGTTTTGGGGAAGTCCTAATGGATAAATACTTAGAATAATAATATAAAACATAGTTTTTGGATGATGGGTATTGCAGTGATACCGGAGGGATTTTATGGTTTGATCCAGTTCCGAGTTTTCCTGTTTTTCTGATGTGCAAGACGTGCTGTTGCTTTCAAAGCCCTCCAGTCTATCGAGCGCCTCTGTGAGACAAGTACAACAAGGGTAAACATGATAATGAACACATATGTAGGACACACAAAATCTGTTACACAAATTAGTTTTAATTAGCTAATACTTTTGAGAAGCTGCCCTCTATGTGTAATACAAAAAACTGCAGCATTTCAAAACAATGTAAAACAAACATGTTTCTGTGAGCTAAGTTATTTAAAATAAGTTTCAATGAAATTCTGAATATTGCTGGTCGTGTTTATGAATAAGAGGCTGTGCCAACCTTTGAGTTGGTCCTTCAGTGAGTCCCTCTCCTCATCAATCCCTCTCCATCTTTCCTCAATCTGCTGAGCCTTGTTTATTCGTGTTTCCATAGCAACAATGGTGTATGCGTGCTGTCGCACCTGCTCCCTGTACTCCTCTACTTCGACCCTGTGTTTCTCTCTCTCCTCTTCAGCTTCTCTCTGCAGGGCCTTCGCCTCTCTTTCCTCACACTGCTTCATCTTCTCGTTCCTCTCCTCTTTGAGATGGAATTCACGCAGTGTTTCTTTCAACTCTGCTTCTCGTATCTTGGCTTCTTCAAATTTGGTTTGCCACTCAGTCTTGCGTGTCTCTATCTCCCTCTGCAAGGCACTCTTGGAAGACAATAAAGTTATTGTCATGGAGTTTTTATTTTTTGTCACTGTGGTTCTGTGTCATATAAAAGCCCATTTCAATCACACAAGAAAACGTACGCTTTGGTAAATCCTAATTATGAATTATGACAATAAAAAGTCAAAATTATGAATAAAAAACATCATTATGAATTAAAAAAGTAAATAAAATATGTTATTTGTTGTTATGTTATTATGATGCAGCAATATTTATATAATTATGATATTTTTTTTTATGTGGTGGCAATTGGCTTCAATATGTGTCAAAGGGAGAAGCAAATAACCAATGTGGCTATATGCGGGGAACTAAGACATGTGGATAAAAACTTGGGAAACTAGACTCTCAGAAACCAGAATATGGCGATGCAGCACATGTTGAAAGTTGAGGTCAGTTTTATTTCATTTCAGGGAATGAATTCAATTGTTAATTTTAACTCACCTCATTTTGTCTCACTAACCGAAGGTCATCCTTAACCTCTTCCAGCTGTCGCATTAGTGTGTTTTTCATCTCTCTGTGTCCCTCGGCTGCCTGCATCATTAAAGCTCAAAGGTCAAGAGAAACTTGAAATTGATAGTAAATTTAATTCATTAAATCAATCTAGTCTGTTAGCTTGGAGTCAATTCTCTGAAACACTTTCAATAATATATGAATTTCCATTGGAACTAAGATGAGTTTTACTTCTAATTATAACTGAAAAATAATTGAGAACGTCCCTCAATACTGTAGGTCTATGTCTCAGAGACTACATTTGTTGTTTTGAGAGAACTTCAACACCTGAAGTTTCTCCAGCTCAAACTGCTTTTGCATGAACTCCAGCCTGCTGTGAAGATCTCTGCCATGCATCTCTGTCTCCTGAAGCTTTTGCATCTCTGACTTCAGTACAGGAAATAAAGACAGTCATGTTTCTTATGAAACATGAATTTGCTTGTTTCCTTATTCTTTAACTGACTTTGCTGCAATACCTTTAGTTTCCTGAGCTCTGATTGGACGTCATTGTGGTCCTGGCATAAAATATGTAAGGCACCTGATACTCCTAGGCAAAACAAATTATAACAATAATTCAGATTAAATTCAATATTTTGTAATACTATAGTGATTTCAACATCACTTAGCTTTTCACAGTCCTGCTTGAATCTTCCTAAACTTTCTGTTTCTTACCTCCAGTCTTCAAAGAGACATCAACCCCTGCTGTATTTAACATCTCTGCAGTATTTTGCAGTACTGTGAGCAGGACGTTCAGTAAGAACAGCGAATGCTCCTGAACCCAGCTGAGCGCAGGACTCAAATTCATGACCTGCAGCCCAGATATTTCCATCTTCACTGTGTCCGCCATGCATGCATCTTGTACTCGACTCTGTATACAAACAGAGAGAGATATTATATAGCTGTGCATCATGTGTATTGTTGTAACACAAACATACAACATTACTTGGCATAATCAATGTTTCCACCTACTAATACCTGACATTCTTGCAGTCTGGCTCTAAATATCTGGGTCTCATCCAACATTTTACTGTGCGTGTGATCTTCCTCTTTGAATTTCATTTCAAAGTCCTGAACTTTGGTTTTGTACATCTCCATCTGTTCCATTAGCTCTGATAAACAGTCCAACACCTCCAAAATCGGAAATAAAAATAAATAATTTCACAACAACAAAAGAATTCTGGCAGTTTTCTCACCCTCATGACTATCCAAATCTGCATGACTTTATTTCTTCGGTCGGACATAAAATACTTTTTTTTTTTAAATCCAGGCTACTCTTTTCAACATAATGGCAGAGAGTTTGGTCTACTCGACTATATCCGTTTCTCAACAATATCCTTCTCTCAGCTATATCCTTCTTTCTATTTCATTTCTACGCTTACAAAAAATAAGTATATTTTAAGGTCATTTTGTTAAGTATACTTTATGTAGTAAATATGAAGAGTTCAGATGCAAAAGCATCTAAGTGCCATTTGAAATTTTCTTCTAGAATGAAGATTTTTATCAAGCTTGTATATTTAAGTTCAGTAATTTCACTTAAATGGCAATTCATAGGTAATCTTCATTGTCCTTTAAATGAAATTACTGAACTTAAATAAACAAGCTTGATAAAAATGATCATTTTAGAAGAAAATTTCAAATGGCATTTAGAGGCTTTTGCATCTGAACTCTTCATATAATAATATCAAATGTACTAGTAGTATTACTACTAGTAGTAGTAAGTGTACTGTTTCAATACTGCTTGGGACTAAATTGAATCACTTTATAGTGAATAAAAGTATACTTTTAAGAATACGTTAAGTGTAACAGTAGTAGGGGTACGACTTGAGATTTTAAGTCTAAATTTATGTGATAAAAGTCGAGTTGCAGATTACATCATTAATGAACAAATAAACCTGAACTTCGAGCTGAGACTGAAATTTGGCTTCTGATTTGCTTGAAATATTTTCTTACCTTTTGATCTGATTCTTTGTCAGAAACACGCAGAGTCTTGACGATCTGGTTACGAAAACTGTCAAACTTTGAAGAAATGTCAGATAAGTTATAGTAATAGACAATTTACAGACCGCTGTTCCTGTCTTGACTTCACTTACCCTTGACTGTGTGTGTTTGAGCTCAGCTTGAAATCTCTGTTCTCTTTGCTGCGTCTGCTCATGAAACTGCTTCAGTCTGTCTATCTCTGTCAGCAGAGAAGCCTGTTCCTACAGCACACATCAAACATGAACATACAGGACATCAGACATAAGCTGCCATTACCTGGCCCAGTGGCTTAATGGATAAGACATCAGTCTCTGGAGCAGTGTTGCCTAATAATTTCAAAGGAAAGTAGCTAATGTCTGCTCAAAATAGTTAAATATCACTAGATGACATAATACACCAATTGTCAGCAATTTACATCTGTTTTCTCTCCTCATCCATGCTCACATACTGTAATTTTAATATAATATATAGCTGAATGTCCAATAAAACTGTTCTCATTTCCATATTTTTTGTCAGACAACAGAATGATTATGATATAGTTACTGACTACATGTTAACCAGATCTGTTGCTAGCTAAGAAAAAGTTACTACAGGAGATCAGGACTGGATGTGAGTGAAACTGAAAACTCACTTTTTTGAGGGATTCTGCCTCACTCTTCCTGGAAAGTAACTCATTCTGATGCTTCTGGGAGTCTTTCAACTATTAAAACCAGACCAAACAAAAGAAACTGTTAAGTTTATTGATAGAACATAAAAACAGCATCATTAAAACATAAGTGCTGATGCAGGAACCTTGTCCATCATGCTTGTGAGCTTGGCTTCTTTGTGTCTCACATCTTGTCTAAGTTTGTCCACCTCAGCTGCTAGTTTAAGAGCCTGTTTCTCTCGAGCAGACACATCTCTCTGCAAACTGCTAATCAACGCTGAATCAAAAATTGAAATAAAACACAGAGTAACTACCTGCTCAGATCTAACAGGATGGTCGCCATATACAACAATTATGTTCTTGATAATTTCACTACAACAATATAAGTGTATCTTAATATTACACAAATGTCCAAAGGTTTGGGGTCAGCTCACCACGGCTGCATTTATTCAATTAAAAATATACAGTAAAACTACAGTATTATCAAAAATTATTTAAATCTAAAAGAACTGCTTTTTTAATTTGAATTTATTCCTGTGATGGCAAAGCTGAATTTTCAGCAGCCATTACGCCAGTCTTCAATGTCACATGATCTTTCTCAAATTGTTTTATTATTATTAATGTTGAAAACAGTTCTGCTGCTTAAACTGTTATACACTTTTCAGATTTTTTGATGAATAGAAACCTTAAAAGAACAGCATAGATGTGTCTGTGTATATCAAAGGCAGTATAAAAATAATACTATTGTATATACTTACAATTGTACATTTATACAAATGGATAGATCACAAAAATATTAATATTAATAATATAATTATAATTTTAATATATCATATTTCATTAAAAAAAACAATATACATAATATATAATATCATCTATAATATCATCATCATACCTGTAGAGGAATTATGTTCATTCTTCAGTTTATTCATCTGTTCTGATAGACTACGTATCTTCTGATCTCTCTCAGTAACAGCCTGTCTGAGCATCTCTCCAGAACGTCCCTGAAGTTCCAGCATCTATATCCATTAAAGAGATAACGCTTTCAAAAATGCACGGCAGTTAATTATTAAATAGCATATGAAAGATTTACAAGGGATTTTCGAGAAAGAATAAATAGCTTTATCAAATAAATGTGTCTCTCTTAAATTTAATGTTTAAACAAAAAATAAATACTAAATCTTGATACATTATACACTGTAAAAATATTGTTGCTTTAACTTAAAAAAGTAAGTAACCTGGTTGCCTTAAAATTTTAAGTTCATTGAAATGGAAAAAGTGAGTTAATACAATGAAGGAGAATTATTTAATCATCAGAAACTCAAAATTATATGTTATCTGAACTAAATAAATTATTTAAGTTGATTTGACAAAAGAAAAAAATGTTGTGATTACTAATCATGAAAAGATTTTTTTTTTACAGTGAATAATGGGTATTTTTTCTACAGAGTAGATGCTTTCTCATGGACCAGTGGCCTTCTGGATAAGACATCAGCATATCTGGCAACGCATGAAGTTTTCTCTGTGATCGCATTCTTATCCTGTAACATAATTGGGGCTCTTAATCCCATAATTACCCAATGTAAGTTTTTACTGTACTGCCATATAAATTAAGTTGTAACTCAAATGGCAGGAAAAAGGGCACCTTATTTTTGTTGTTGTGAATTACAACCTGTAGCCTTTGTATTTGTATATGACTATGAATGAGCTGCTATTGGCAGACGACTGATATAATCTAAGTTAGTACTAATCTTGAACTCCTTCAAAATAGATGAGACTTGAAGTCACAATCCCCTGTTCCTGAGGCTGATGCTTCATCCATTACATAAAACAGTCACAAAACAATAAATAATGTAAAGTGAAATGTAACAAAGCAAACACCTGCTCCTTTAGCTGCTGTATCTGATCTTTCTTCTCTTTGATGTCACTCTCCAGGCAGCAAAGTCTGTGTGTGCCATCTGGATCACCCTGCTTCTTCTGAGACAGCTGGAGCTTCAGAGCTGACACTTCCTCCTTCAGGGCCATGATCACATCATCCTCAAAGCATACAGACACATGAACGTGTCCCTCTCCGGGCCAATGCAACCTCTCCTCCTGAGAAAGATCACAGTTATCAGTGTATTGATTAAGCTTTTTAGCCCTGTGAGATGGCATAACAATTGCATGGATGGTCCAGTGAGCAAACAGACACTAACAGGATGTTACACTCACCTCCTCCATTGGCAAGGAGTTAATGATTTGAGAATTGTGAGGTTGTGTCTTACTTCTTAAATAACATACTTTCCCTGTATTACCACTCCAGCTTCCTGCAAAAAAAAAAAAAAAAAAAAAATGGATTCAGTTTGAAATAAACTAACACTTCATTTTGTACTTGTGTGCTGAAAAAAATACTTTAACTGCTACCTGGTCTGCTGGACTGGGTTTTGTGATCAGGTTTATTTGGACCCCGTTTAGACCCAGCGCTCATGGGGCGAGGTCTGGTGGGAGGATGGGGTGAAACAGAAGGGGTCCGAGCTCGTACCCAGGCCTGCGGAATGGGAGACTGGGCACCCAGAAGAGGAAACTGTACAGGGAGTAAGGTAAAAAAAAAAGTATTTAAATATAAATTTTAGATTGTTATTTATTATATAATTATTTAATATAAACTTGAATCAGTACATTACATGTTTTATACATTCTGTGTCTTTGAACTTGAACTTAAGTCAATATAAAATGCTACTGAAACAAAACGGATATAAAAATACACAAAAACATAAACAAAAAAACACAATGTCATTTCTCTTTTCTGTTCAAACACATCAAAAATGTTACTGATTTTTCGCTGTCAGTGGAGAGCTCATAGGTTGATCCTCCATAGCCAAAGTGAAGCCGGTCTCCCGGAGAGAGGCGCACAGTGGCATTGTGTATCCGGCAGTCATTGACGTACGTCCCGTGGGCAGAGTTCAAGTCACGAATAACATAGCAGCTGTCCGCTTCACACCAGTCAATAGTGGCATGACACTCATCTACCCCACTATTCTGAGTAGATGAGATGAGACACAATTAAAAAAAAAAACATTCTAGTGACTGTCATCATCAGAATGTCATCAGATCAACATCTCACCAAGATACATAATTAAATGTTGAATCAATAACTCTGTGAATTGACATTTGGACACATCTGGGAAATAAATAAAGTTTAACAGTACCTGCAGACAGAGGTCAGAGTCTTTGTGTGTTCCTATAGTAGTTCTTTTAGGCTGGAGTTTAAATACCCAGTTTAGAGTTTTGAGGTAACCCCTCATTTCAACCTTAAGTGCAGAGAAAACTATAAATTCAACCCTTACTGAATTTCTATGAATCTGTGTCTTTTTTAAAACCTATACGTTACTTGGAGAACATAATATAGGCACCAGCATTTTTTTTTATACTGTAGATTGCAATGATTGTGTCTTGACAACTCACCAGTACGAGTTTTCATCCGCATTCGTCCAAACTGTGTACGACCCTGCTGCTCATGGGCATGTTTCTTGCTTTCTCTAAATAGGTTGTGTACGAGTGTCATGGCAACGTCAAAAGAGTATTGCCCCGCCTTCAACACAGCGTGAAGTCCGTGCTGTTTGGGTGAGCAGACGTCAATCTTCCAGTTCCACCAATGGTTCCACCCTGCAAACTTTCGAGACGCGCAGCACGCGCTGGTTCTTGAACGTAGGTTGTCAAAATAAATTGAATTTTGTATTAAAATATATAGACTATGCTCTTTTTATTTTATTTCTAAATTTCGTTCTATTCAAATATTACTTATTGGCTATCAGGTTCGTCACGTCAGTAACCGAGCTAAGTTGCGCGAAAGCCAACGTATTTTTGGCGGTGCGAGGTAGCCTAAACACGTTTTAAACAAAATACATAATTTGTGAATATTTGTGAATTGTAAACCTATAATGACGTGATACTAGTGCAACCTGTCCTGTCAACGGTCCCAGGCGGTCCTAAACAGTGGTCCTCCTAGTCAAATACGTTGTAGCCTACAGTGAGAGCTTCAAAGAGGTCCTGCGACTAAAGACACAGTGTCAGAAATCCATGAACAGGGATGTTTGAGATGCGCCATGCCTGAAATCTATGCGAGAGCGCCAGGCGGCTGCAGTGAGGGGAGAAGTGAAAAAAGTGCAGGCAAGATAGGTAACAGTTCTCTCTTCTCGTACTGGATCTGACACCTGCGAGATCATCAACGGCGGATATCGCGGGATTCACGCTCAGGCGTGTTGATGATGAACTGGACGTAATTTAAGTTCTGTTGCTTTTTATTTATTTCCATTCGAAAGACGTGTTTATCAATATTTTTTCTTTAATCATATATATATATATATATATATATATATATATATATATATATATATATATATATATATATATATATATATATATATATATATATGTAGGCCTACATTCAGTTTCTAAATGTTTACTTTTTGATCTATGAATTATAACAGACTGATGGGGGAAAAACATTATTTTGCTGTTACTTTTTTTAAATTGGTTTTATTACCAATTTCTTGTTTTTTGTTAGTTTTATTTTTTATATAAACATTTAACTTTTAAAATCAAGGTTTTACAACAACATCACCATCTGCTGTTATATGTGGCGTCCATGCTCATCTATTGTGTTTGATATTGGTGGAGGGTTGTAGGCCACATCAAGATTTTTTCAGGGGGCCCCGAATCTTCTACATATGCCCCTGCCTACGTCCACTAACTAGCCATTAAAAATGCAACATGAAATGGCCTATTGATGAACGCGACATGCCGCTAAAACTTAAAACTACTTCAAGCTCTAAAATTTACATGCCAAGTTGGCCTCTTTTCCCTAGCTATGATCATATCCATGTTCTCCTCTTTCGCTTCCTCCTCGTTTTTTTCAGTGTGATTAAAATTGCTCTATTTTGTTTAACATTAGCTCATGCTGATGATCATAGTAAAGTCTACATGCATGTCATACCCAATTTTATTACATCCATGTTCAACATGACATCATGACTTTTGCGTAAACATACACGCCACTTTCGAGTCAAGTGGCGTGTTATCTCTACGCATTTTGAGCTATCCGCGTGTATGCGTGTATGATCTTATAAATCGCACAGTCTGTATAGCAGGCAAAGTGCTAGAGCAATGTTTACCTCGTCATTTGTAACTAACTTTATAATACACCCTCAACCCACAGCACTTTAGCCGATGAATTATCTAAATTAGATATTTAATTGGAAACATATTTATTAGGCCAATAAAACATAATCACATCAAGAAGAGGAATAAATATTGCTTTTTAATATTTTATTTTTTAACTTCTTTAAAGGCAATTAAACAAGAGTTTTGAATGAATTTTTATTGTTGTTCTTGATGATGATGATGATGATTTTGAAATAACCACACCTTCCACGCTTTAATTAGAGGTCATCACCTGAAAAAAAGAGGCCATTTAAATACCTAATATGTCTTAAATATATGTCAACAGGATATTTAAAAAAAAAAAGATGGTGTGTACTCAGAAAAAGACACTCACATTACTGATCCAGGAACTGTAGCCAGACACACGGGTGAAGACGGAGGGCTTCTTGTAGTAGTTGCAGCCCAAGCTGGAGCCGAAACTCACAATGCCGTGAACATCCCAGGTGCCGTCACTTCTCTGGCAGTTCAGAGGGCCACCAGAATCACCCTGCATGAGTGAGTACCAAAAGTTTACATCATTAGGGCATTTTCACATAAAATATCAAACAGTCAGTAGGGACAATGACAACATCTAAAAATAAATAAATAAAGTTTGCATAAAACCCACATTGCAGCTGGACACAACTCCATCTCCACCAGCGCACACCATGAGGTCGGTCACGAGGTTGCCCCACCAGTCAGACTTAGTGCAGGTAGCGTAGTCCACAACTGGGAGCATAGCCTGCTGCATTGCATCAGCAATGGGACCATTGGCTGAAAAAACAAGAAAGCAAAACGTGTTTGTTTGATGTTTCGGCTTGAAAAATAAGAAATAGCATTGCAGTGGAAAGGCACATACTCCAAAGGCGTCCCCAGCCAGTGACATAACAGGAGAAGTTGTGAGGCAGGATGCTGCCAGAAGTTGGCAGGCAAGCAGGTGAGATCTTGTCGTTGAAAGTCACAGGAGTCGACAGCTTGATCAGGGCAATGTCATTGCTGAGAAACACACAAATGCATCAAAAACACTCTTAGATGGATCTTCCTGGTCAAAAGTTGAGAATAATTAAGATTTTTTTTTTTTTTAATGTTGATAAAAGAAGTCTCTTATGCTCACCAAGGCTGCATTTATTTGATTAAAAATACAGAAATATATATCATGATGTATTCATGAAAAAATTTATTCCACCAAAAATATATATATATTTAGCAGCAAAAACAACATTTATAGTAAGAATTAGGGGTGTATCTATATTATATCACAATACAAAAATGCAGTACGTATCGTGGACAGTGACAATATGTATTGTGGATATTCCAATTACAAAAAAATTAAGTTTAGTGTCAGTACTACATTGAACTACTATATATAATGTTGATTATATTGTATAATAATGCAATGTGGGTCCTGATAATGCCAAATGTCTGATGTTACCAGTAAAAAGTGGCCGACATTATTTTAAATATATCTAGTTAGTGAAAGCGTTCAAGCATATTCATCTACAATAATTCTGTTTTTTCGGCTTCATAATCATAAATATTTTTATTCTGGTGTCTCCATTGTCCTTGGGTTACAAGCACCAAGTCCAAGCCTATTCATTTAAACCTACAATGTAATATCAAATTTAGTACATTTTTTGTTAACCTTTTACCATATGTCTTGGAGTATCGCAATAATATCGTATCGTGAGTTCAGTATCGTGATATGTATCGAATCGTGACATGAGGGTATCGTTACACTACTAAAAAAAATGATTATTAATAAACGAGTAGCAAATCAGAATTTAAAATGTATTTCTGAAGGATCATGTGACACTGAAGACTGGAGTAATGATGCTGAAACTTTTGCTTTGACATCACAAGAATAAATTACATTTTAAAATATATTCAAATAGGAAATTTTAAATTGTAATAATATTTCACAATATTTGATAAAAAGTTTACACTGTGTTGTTGATAAAATAAATTGACAGCAGCATTTTTGAGCATAAGAGACTTCTTTCAAAAACATTAAAAAAAAAAAAAAAAAACTTTTGACCTGTATATTAAAATTAGACAAGGACTAACCGGATATTGTAGGAGTCCCAGTTCTCATGCACGATAATCTTGGCAGGAGAGATGGCGAGAGAGCCGGCCTCGTTGCTGATTTCCAGGTTGTGCTTTCCCAGATATACCCTGTAAGTTCGGCTGCTGCTTGGCAAAAGTTTAAGACAATGCAAATTAAGAAACATTCATTGCGTTCCTTAAATGCCAGCTAGAGCAGTGCAGCATCATGTTTCATATTGTGAAAGGAGGAGCAGTATACCCAATGCAGTGAGCAGCGGTCAAGACCCACTCATTGGCGATCAGGGTGCCACCACAGGTGTGATAAAAGCTGGAGCCACTCTGGTACTGGAGAGATACCTGAAATATGAAGGTAATGAGTGTTGAAACTGGAGCTTTTTTTTCAGTGCATTTAGTCATACAGTCAACAATTATTGCAAAAAAATATTAAATTATGTAATAAAAACTATTATTACAAAAAAAAAATAGCATTGCTGTGTTTATAATTACCATTTGATTGTTAAATATTTTAGGATTAGATTAATAAACTGTAGCATTCACAATACCTGCCATGGCCAGCTGTTTGGTTTAACATCAGTTCCACCCACCACCCTCGAGGCGAGAGGTGTATAGGTGGGCTGCCCACATCCGTAGGCTGTTTCAAGACAACACACGGTGATACATTACATATCTGCTCAGTGCTCAGGTTTTTTAGCTACAATGCATGTGAATGTGAATTGTGAAAGATATCTCTGCTTTTTCTGAAGTTTAGGAACCCAAGAGATTTTCTCTGGGTCAGAACTCTTTTTTTTTTAGAGTTTAGAGTAGACAAATGATCATCTTACCACCAGCAATGAACAGAGCCAAGATCAGAAACATCATGATGCCTGATTTCAGTGGCTACAAGCAAACACCCATCACTTATATACAGTAACCAGGGTTGCCAGATAGCCCAATTCCACAGTTTTTTTTTTATGGAGTTGGGCTACTTTTAATCTGCTGACAGGTTGATTTTGCTCTCCCCAGCGGGTTTCAAGGCTTATTTGACTGAAATGTATTGAGATATTTTACCCATTCTACATTCTAACAATGATACAACTAGATTATAAGTTTTGTGTGGAAGCGCACTGGTAGGAAGCTCCTTTATAAAAACAGACTGTTCATGATTATTAATGCATATAGTGACTGTATGCCTTTTAGAAATGGTAGGGGCATAGTTTTAATATTTTGGATGATCGTTGAGCTTGTTTTGGGCTACTTTTGATTGGCTATTAAACTTGTTATATTACACAGACCTGGCAACCCTGACAACAACTAACCTGGACAGGGAATAGGCTAGTTACAATTGCTGCAGCAATGCACTGATAGCATTTACATCATTTAACCTTGCAGATAAACATCCCAAAATATCAGTTATCTTGCAGATTATTTATATGTGGCCTGTGAAATGCACAGATGTGATGTAAACAGAAATCCCTTGCCAAAGCCAGGTGGCTTTTTGTGCTTCATAAAAAAGTTTTTTTTTCTTTTTAAGGGGAAGGGGGGATTTAACTATACATTTGTGACAAAAACTATAAATGTAAAGGATCCAAAAAGTCGTAAGAATTCAAGGAAGAGAAAAAACTATAAAAAGATTATTCTGCAGTCAGAGTAAAAGCAAGAATAAAAACGTCAACATGTTAATTAACTGCAAATTTATTTTTAACCGATTAGATTATATCTTGTGAAATATTAATTTCAAGGTGTACCTGAGAACTACTTCTGAATAGTTTTTCTCTAAAGCAATTATTCATGCCAAAAGAGTAGTTTGTGCTCTCGGCTAAGAAGTTTTAAAGACTGATAATATAGTTTTTATTTATGGTAACCACAAGGAAAGTAGTATAATTATAAATTATCATGCAAATTGCTTAGGGGTCAACGACAAATTAGAGTCTTCAAGAAAATGAAGAATCTTTTCAAAGGAGATTTTAGCCCGTATATTAAACAGGCAAGAGTGGAAAATTTAAGCAAAAAATAATTTCATGTCATTTATCTGGACTTAAATTTAAATTTACTGTAAGTTTAAACTTCCACAACTTTTTCATACTTTAATTTTTTCAAGTACTTTCACTTTCGCAATAATTTGTTGACCGTTTTCTTTAAAACGAGACCAAAGTTGTCTATTGTCTTTATTCCAAAGCAGTCTTGAATCATTTAAGTTTAAATAGTGCATTTTAAGCAAAGCTATAGTTTCATCCCTTGCTTATACCCTAAACAAGCAACGTGACTCAGGAGTAACATACATTTCAAAACATGCTAAATAACAACATGAACAACATACTACTTAATTTTCTCCTTTAGCACCTCAAGAAAATATTCACAATTCATTTTAGCAGTATTGTATTGCATTGGCCCCCCGAAATGCAACTTCCCTTCCCCAGTGGAGGTCTGTGCACACCTCTGGCAACAGTATTTTCATTACCTTTTAACTTTGTAGATACACATGTTGTACTTCGCAGGTACTGCATGTTTGCGGCCTGTGAAATGCACAGATGACATCCTGATATAAGCAATAACAGCTTGTGCACAAAGCCCGTGCCTAACAAACTATACATTTCATAACATTTGAACTTTTAAGCTGAATCATGTGAGAGGAAATTAGCTATTAACAAGAATTTGTGTCAAAAATAGAGGCCTATATTAACAAATTAACAGTAAATAATATCATATCTTTTTGATTTGGTCTTCAGTTGAATACATCAAAAGAATTGGTGAAAATAAAATGGGGAAAATGTATAAAAGGTGGTTCTGAAATGAAATTAAATGTGAGAACATAAATGTTCAAGGTGTTAATCAAATATTACTTTCACTGATTTGATTATTTGCTGTGAAACATCAAGGTCAAAGTGTACCAAGTGGAGCTATTTTAATTGTTTTTCCTGAAGCATTCAAGGACATTCGTTCCAAACGATTGCTTAACTGTGGTCATACATTACGCTGAAAGTGATGTGGCCAGTAGGCTATATAAGCCACAGCAGAGAGGGCAAACGTTGAAGATACAGCCACGATGAAGTTTCTGGTCTTTGCTGTTCTAGTTGTTGGAGGTAAGAATCCATTAAAAACTTATAATGTAAGTACTGACTATTTTTAGGGTCTGGTAATGCCATGCAGCAACATTCTTAATTTTAATTTTTATAAAATTATTAAAACTTTATTTTTTTTACAATTTATTTTTTGTATAATTTTTAAACATTTTTAAACAATAATATTACTTTTAAAATACTTAATAATATTTATTGCTATAAAAAAGCATGATGTGTTATGTTTTACCTCAGCTTACGGATGTGGGCTGCCCACCTTCCCTCCTATTGTGACGAGGGTTGTGGGGGGTGTGGATGTCCGTCCTCACAGCTGGCCCTGGCAGGTAGATGCACATAATTAATTCCTTTTTGTAATAGAAATGTCTACTGAAACTTTAGGCAAAAAAAGAGAAGATCTAAAAAAAAATTGCATATTTTTTTTTTCATTCATCCTGAAAATGTATTCATTTTTCATTCGTTTAGCTGACCTTTTTATCCAAAGCGACTTACAATTGCTATATACAGTATGTCAGAGGTTGCACGCCTCTAGATCTAGTTGGGTTTAAGTGTCTTGCTCAGGGACACTTTGGCGTCTCACAGTGGATTCGAACCTGGGTATCTCACACCAAAGGCATGTGTTTTATCCACTGCGCCATCACCACCCCAAATTACTAACAATATAAAAGTTATTTACTTGACATGAAGAGAGATGTTTTTAGAATTTTACTAAAAGGCATTTTGCTTGTTAAAAAAAGTTTAAACTATCAATCAGGCAACAGATTTTTCAGCAAAGTTGTGATCATGTTGATCATTTAGATGCCTTAAAAACGTATAGGATTCATATTTGCCGACTTACAAAGAAAAGGACACAAGAAAGTCAACTGGCCCTGTTCTGTTCTTCACCCAGGTCTCCCTCCAGTACCAGAGTGGTGGTAGCTGGTATCACACTTGTGGAGGTAGCCTTATTTCCAATGAGTGGGTTCTGACTGCTGCTCACTGCATCAGGTTAGTCTGAGGAATCTTAAACGCTGCAGGAGTTGGTCACACTTTAGTTTGAGATCCAATTCTCTTTATTAACTACGACTTTTTTACTCAATAAACTCCTAATTACTGCTTATTAGTAAGGTAGTTGTTAAATTTAGGTACTGGATAGGATTAAGGGATGCAGAATATGGTCATGTAGAATAAGGCATTAAATGTGCTTTATAAGTACTAATAATCATCCAATATCCTAATAATATCCATGCTAATAAGCAGCTAGTTAAAAGGTTAGTTCACCCAAAAATGAAAATTCTGTCAGTATTTACTCACCCTCATGTTGTTCCAAACCTTTATTTATTCTGCTGAACACAAAGGAAGATATTCGGAAGAATGTTTTAATCAAACAGATCTCAATCCCCATTGACTAGTATGTATTTTTTCCTACTATGGAAGTCAATGGGGAATGAGATCTGTTTGATTAAAACATTCTTCCAAATATCTTCCTTTGTGTACACCAGAAAAAATAAACACATAGAGGTTTGGAGCAACATGAGGGTGAGTAAATACTGACAGAATTTTCATTTTTGGGTGAACTAACCCTTTAATAGTGAGAATTGGACCCTAAACTAAAGTGTTAATAGAAGTACTATTTAAATATTACCATACATTACAATTTAGTTACATGGTATATATCAAAAAAGTACCAAGGTATTACTTACCATTTCTGAAATGCTTTGTCTTGTGGCCTTGCAGCAGTAGCAGAACTTACAGGGTGTTTCTGGGAAAACATAACCTGAAGGAGGAGGACAACGGATCTCTCGCCATTTCCCCAAGCAAGATCATTGTCCACGAGGACTGGAATTCCTTCACAATCCGGTACTTGGGCCAAAAGACTCCTCACGAAGAACAGATTTAAACAATTGTGCACTGAGATTTAGTTTTAATGTTGTCTCTGGACCGCAGTAATGACATCGCCCTGATCAAACTGGAGAGTCCTGTCACCACTAGTGAAACTATCACACCTGCATGTCTTCCTACGGATGGCGATGTTCTGCCCCACAATGCTCCCTGCTACGTCACTGGATGGGGACGCCTCTACAGTAAGTGTGTTGAACTCAACTGACTGAGACAAGCAACACGATCACAGAGAATGTGGACATTTTTTACTTTCTTGTCTTCTCTAGCCAATGGACCTCTTGCTGATATCCTGCAGCAGGCTCTCCTGCCTGTGGTGGATTATGCGACCTGCTCAAATTCTGACTGGTGGGGCACTCAGGTCACACAAAACATGGTCTGCGCTGGTGGAGATGGTGTTGTTGCTGGATGTAATGTAAGGAGATCCTAGTGACTTACATGCGTTAAGCTGGAATACACTACATGAAATCTGAGCAATTTTTTTAAACGCTGGCTAGTGGATAAATGGCAGATGAAAAAATACGTGTTTTGAAATCGGCTCAAGATATCCAATATGTTTTGATATCCTCTATCCGAATAGAATCAGTGTGAAGCAAAAAATTTTAATCAGAGTCTTTGCCCGTTATACGCTACGCAATTTTCTATTAAAACAGCCAACTCAAATCTGAAGATTGGCTCTGACTTTCGACATCTAACGTCGATTCGCCCAGAGCAAAAGTCATGTAGTCTATTACAGCCTTTAATTTCATATAAAAAGTGAAAGACGAAAATGTTAAAGGATAATTTTGGAAACAATCGTCACACAACAGGGCGACTCTGGTGGCCCCCTGAACTGTGCTGGTAGCGACGGCGCTTGGGAGGTTCATGGTATTGTGAGCTTTGGTTCAGGCCTGAGCTGCAACTATTCCAAGAAGCCCACCGTTTTCACTCGTGTGAGCGCCTACATTGATTGGATCAGCAAGGTAAGTGTTTTACATTAAAAACATGCTACAGTAAATAACCTGCAAATGTTTGTCATTGTGGTACTGCAATACAATTGAAAATCTTTTCCCTTTTTAATCTCTTACAGAACATGGCCACCTATTAAAGAGCAAACAGAAAAATGGGTTTTTTATCATCGATGCCTCGAACAATAAAAATATTAAAAGACACTTAAGAAAGTTGTGTAAATGTATTTGCACTATACGATTATAAATGCACAAACGAAATGCACTTATGATGCATATGAATTTGTAATGTTTGTCGGAAGTTCTTGCTAGTGGTTTTTGTCAAAATCATGGGCAGGCACTGTGGTGTTTTATTTTGATAGGGTCCCATCCAAGACAATTTTATATGTCACAGTAGACCATCGAATGTTAATGTTTCTGCTATTTCTCTGTAAAATTAAATACATCAAATTCATTGTACAAATATCAACTGCTTTTGGTATAAGTGGTTTTAAGTAGTTATCAGAGCCATTTTATTGGAACTGATAATATTTATTGAATTTTTAAATTCATGAATTTGAGTACAAGAGAATAAAATGGTCCAAAACAAGAAAAGGGACATGTGGCAGAGTCTTAATGTAGCTGTTAGTAAACATTAGCCTACATATAATCACATATTGGGGTATTATTGAAAACCATGATTGACATTCATACATTTAATAATAGTAAACTACCAAAAAGTGGCCGTGTGCAGGTTTGCCGTCATACAGAGGGTACACACAGTTAATGGGAAATTCAGCCAAGTCTTAATATCTCATTTTAGTGGTACACTTTTATGTATATGTGAAAACAAATTCTTCTTGCATCATTAACAGTCACAGCAAACAATACAGAAATACTAATTTTGCCACAAACATTGCTTTAAATGATTTAGGACATTTTGAGCACTCTTTACCTTTAGCTTAGATACCATGAAAATATTCTAGATCGGAGGAGATTCAATCAAATCTGATTAATCAGATCTTCATCTTGGTGTGTTGAAACTCATTCACTGTGCAGCCACAGTGATGTACCTAGGCTCCATGTTCCCAAAGTAGGACTTCTCCCACTCGCTCATGAGGTCAAAATGGAGAGGCCGATCACAGAAGGTGCATGAGGCCATAGCCGGTCCATTCAGTGGTAGTCCAACCTCTTGCCAGACATCCAACAGTTTCTCTGTCCAACATAGAATACAATTAAAAATACATATATGAATCATTTGGTGTAAAATATGATTACGGCGATGGCAGATGTCGTGTAACAAATTAAATTAAAATCAGAGTGTTATGAAAACCTGTTCAAAAACTAAACCGCTATTCTGAATAGTGGTGCCAGCATTAATAAGAGTTTGCCCAATAGACCTTATTCAGAGAAGCGCCATGACTGGTATGAAAGTGAGACTTGCCATATTCACAGTGCCATCCCAGTGTAAAAAGCTGTATGTACTGTATCACTTTATTTTACAGCTAAAATATTTTTTAAAAATCATAGTGCCTGTAGTTTTTTTTGTCAGCTGAAATTTCTTAAAAGGTCAGCAGAACAATCCAAAAACACATCCATTTACAGTTTAACCCACTGAAGAGATGTATTCATTCCCGTTAAAAATCAAAGATGGCTCTGCTCTGAATAAGGTCTATGGCATGACCACTCACCTACAAAGTAGTTCATCATAACGGGGTTGTGGAAAGGGGAAGGAGCCAACCGCAGTAGCTCCTCCCCACGAGGCACCGTCGGGTAATTTATGGCCTGCACATAGATGTTGTGTTTCTCCAACAGAACGTCGCACACCTTGGAGTTCTTCTCTGCATTTCCAACCTGAGATATACGATTTAAAGTTCAAATATTTATTCTTGTGCAGACCAAGTCTGGTGGGTGATTTATACATACAGTATACAGTAATTGTTAAGACTACAATTGCAAACACTGACCCGTATAGGAATGATGTGGCTGGGGCAGTTGACCACAGGCAGCCCAGCGTCCAGCAGCAGCTGTCTCATGAGTTTGACGTTTCTCTGATGGGCTCTACGCAAGGCCTGGCCTTCAGCGCTCTTCAGCACTCGCACCGATTCCAGAGCCCCCGCCAGCACCATGGGAGGCAAGGAGGTAGTGAAGATAAACCCAGCGGCATATGATCGCACAGTGTCCACCAGGGCGGCAGTGCTGGCTATGTACCCTCCCACACATCCAAATGCCTTGCCTACAGATATTTCAAACAATGTAACCATCTTGATGAAAAGGATTAGGGCAAGAACACAGGTGACTACAGTAGTACTGGATAAAATCATGCACTTGACATTGACTGTATGTGTCTTACCTAGAGTTCCAGAGACAATATCGATCTTGTGCATGATGTTGTCTCTCTCTCCTACACCTGCTCCATGAGCCCCATACAGTCCGACAGCATGGACTTCATCCACAAAAGTCAGAGCACCATATTTGTGTGCTACGTCACACAGTTCTTCTAGAGGGCAAATTGCACCTGAGAAACAAATTGAGATTGTCATTCATTCAGCTGTATTTAGTTGAATCAGTCATTGACTGTGTGATGGAGCATCGGGCAAAATCAGTTCGCCATGATTCATTTATTCCATGAGCCAAAGTGTCTGTTAAAAGAGTGGTTGCCAAAAATTTCAAAATGCCGTCCCAATAAGGCTCCACGTAAAATAAAACGGCATATATAAGGCTACTGATGAGTGGGATCTTCATTGTATGTGAGTGTACGTAAGTACTATATAATTTTTTTTTAATAAGCAAAGAAAATGCAGTGCACTTGTTTCAATTATTGTACGTTTTTAGCATCACTAATTAATGATACACAAGTATGCCACCAGTTTATTATAGATGCTTCATTTTACAGTACATTTCTGCATTATTAGATTGCATAACATATCAGTACACGTTTTTCATGGGAATTGAACCTTGTTGTTTTTTGGGTCAGATCTTGCTATTTTGAATTGGAATTATAGCCAATATTTTTCATGATTCATGTAGAATTCATAATTGAATGTGACGGGACAAGAAACATTAACAGAGCTGTTTTGATACTAGGAAACAAACTGTTTTGAATCAATTATGTGATTTCTTCTACTCACCATCCATTGAATGCACAGTCTCAAAAGCCACAATTTTGGGTGTGAGTGGGTCTGAGCGGCTGAGTAGTTCCTCCAGGTGACCGGCATCATTGTGTCGGAAAATGAAACGTTTAGCCCCACTGTTCCGGATGCCCTGGATCATGGAGGCGTGATTGCCCATGTCTGAGTAAATCTCACAGCCTTTGCAAAGAAAATATATTTTTAGAAGAATTTCAGAAGATACACTACGTTTTAAAAGTTTGGGGTCAGTAAGTTTTTATTATTATTGAAATATAGTCAACATAAAACCTAAATTCATCAGTTAAATCAAAAGACAGTTTCAGGTGACCATTTGAGCTTATAAAACATAAACTTTTTTTTTTTTTTTTTTTAATGAGCAATCGTTTCGCTTGATAAGACCCTTATTCATCGTCTGAAATCGTTTAAAGCCCTTTGAACAGTTTGCAGTTTGCACTGAAACTGTCTTTTGGACCTTGAACCATTTGGTTCCCATTGAAGTACATTATATGGAGAAAAATCCTGGAATGTTTTCATCAAAAACCTTAATTTCTTTTCGACTGAAGAAAGAATGACATGGATATCTTGGATGACATGGGGGTGAGTAAATTATCAGCAAATGTTTTTTTTTACTGTAAAAAAATATTTTCAAGATTTGTTATCACAACATTTTTTCTTTTGTCAAATCAACTTAAATAAGTTATTTAGTTGAGATAACTTATTATTTTGAGTTTCTGATGATTAAATTAATCTCCTTCATTGTATTAACTCACTTTTTCCAGTTCAATCAACTTAATTTTAAGGCAACCAGGTTACTTACTTTAAGTTAAACCAACAATTTTTTTACAGTGTACTCCTTTAAGGCAGTTCATTCTGTTTTGTATGGTACCTGGGAGCATTTTAGCCAAAGTAAAGAGGGTGGAATCATTGGCAACAAAGCAGGAAGAAAAGACTAGTGCTCCATCTTTCAGGTGTAAACGGGCCAGCTCACTCTCCAGGGCCACGTGATAGTTACTCGTCCCAGAGATATTTCGGGTTCCACCTGCTCCAGCACCATGCCTCTCCAAAGCCTCTCTAAGATACAATGAAAACTGTGATTAACCAGTTAGCTTTAGCAGCTATACTATGTGAATATCAAAAAGCAAACAATTAGAAACTTCATAGTTTTATGAAATTTACTTGCAGCGTTTAGCAAAACTACAATTCCACAGTATATTTGAAAATGTATAGTTTACGTTAGCATTCTTTGCTGCACCTTCGTTTGTTCTTTCTCTACGTATAATAACAGATGATGACAAACGTTCGTTTCATTGTCTGTTTTATGTACTGACCTTATGGCCTTGACAACTTTGGGATGTCGGCTCATGCCCAGGTAATCATTACTGCACCATACAGACACCTGGGAACCCAAACGTCCAGGGATGGAGTAGTCCTCAGCAAACGGGAAAACCTCTGCAAAACGGTTCACCGTCTTAAAGATGCGGTAGGTATGGTCATTCATCTTTTCCACAATCTTCTGAGTGAAGAAGTCATCGTAGTTGAAACTGGCTGTGGCTGAATGTTTTAAAGAGTAGACAAGCAATAAGTGAGAAAAAAAGGCAAGAATGATAGACACTACGTGCTGCAGTATAGAGTGTATACTATATTAAACAACAGTCTTGGATCAATTTGATAACTTGCCTTTTACTCACCATCCATTATTCCACATTATGTCATATTGTTATTCCATTATTCCATTAGTTCAGTTATAAAACATATATATTCAACAACAAAAAAGTGTATTGGCAGTCTAATCAAATTATGAAACAAAAATTGATGTTGAATATAATACTGCAGATTTAGTAGTATAGCGTTGTACTGTAAACCATTAAGGAAAATGCGGCCAGACTCACCAAAATTGTCCTGAAGAAGGTGTGTAGGACCAGTGGACTGATGACTTTGCAAGCCACTGAACATCGAGCTCATTAAACCTGGAGAAAACAAGGCATCAATTCGTGAGAAATTCATCAAACAAACACAAAAATCCAGTTTCTTCGCTCGGTTTTCACACTGAAATCACTTTAACATGTAGTCCCAGACTAAAACTTGCACTGACATAATATTAAATATATCAGTGCCATTGTTTTGTCTCAAGATCCACACTTGTAATGATTTTTTTTCTAAAGAACGTTTATAAAAGCTAGTTAAATGTCCCAATTTAACTAAGGCCTAATCCTGGGTTTATCAAACCCAGTCTGTAAAACCAGGCCTAAGTGTTTTGTATTTCATGCCAATGTATCTAAATTACAGGCAATACAGTATGAAATAATTGCAGTGCTTCAAAAACTAAAAACTACAATTTCCCAATTATGGTAGGTATTACACATGCGGCTGTATGAAGTTTAATCTGGAATGTGATTGTCTGAAGACTAGCTTTTGTTACATCAGCAGTCTGTCATCATCTGCTTACTATTCACAGCTGAGGAGTCTCTCAAATTGGAGTTAAATGGTGCAAATTGCAGAGAGGGGAATGCTCTCCAAGCTGCATGCTATTATGTAAAATGCATCCAACAGCTGCATGATACCACTCAGACAAAAGAGCCTCTTCAGCAGCGACTCATTATACTGTGGTGGCAAAAAGAGACATGCAGGCAAATAAGCTAAAAGACATCAATCAGTCAGTCAGTCTATGACTCTGTCACAGAGTTATTTTTTTACCTGATGTGGTGTCTTGATTCAGATTAGGCTGAACATCCTCTTGTACTTGAGGACTTGCCTTGACCAGTCCAATCTTCGAGGAAACGAAAGGACAGCTTTGGGACATGGAGATCGCCACCTGAGTCGCTGTGGTCGCCAGCTGTCGCTTTGGCTCCTTGTGAGGAAGCAGGCCTGAACAAGTACATGAATGTATACATATGGGGTACTGACTAGCCTATACTGATTTAGAATAGGCCTACTTGGTCATTGTAAATCAGATTTGAATTACAGAATATTATAAATATGGAATATTGTTGTAATTATTGTATCTGGTATAGTAAACATTACAATGACACAATATAGAAAATATAGAAAACAACAGCTACCATTTCCCTCAGAGGATTGGGTGGCTTTTACAGAGATCTGGCGGACAATGATCGGACATCGGTCAGCCAAGCCGAGGCAAGCTGCCACATTTCTTAAAGAAGGGCCAGGAGTGGACTTCAGGAATGGGCAGTGATGCAGAAAAGAAGACATGATTTTAACAGCTGTAAACAATAGAAAAGATGTTGGTCAGTGGGAGGATTATTTTCAAAATTACTTTTCCACATTGTAACATTGTTAGCCTAGGGCTATTATATTCAAAGGAAAGAGGGCCAGCTTAAAATAATGATTAGGCTATATAATATTAATATTTAAGTGGTTTATTAAAGACCCTCAAGTGACCCTATATCAAATTACGAGCAGTGGATGTGGGCGCGCCGGGCACCTGGGCGCGGCCGATAGCGCTCCTTATCTGGAACGCGCAGACTCGCGATTTCCACAACACGCAGTTCTAAAAGTTAAAAACTGACGTCATATATATTGATAAAGGCTAGATTATACTTACCGAGAAGTTTCACCCAAATAAACCGAACTATTATAACAATGGTCCAAAACAACAACAACAACAAAAAAAAAATGTAAACAAACTAATTTCACTCATATTAGGCTACATTATTATTTATAATAATAACAATAATGACATTGTTGTTAATATAATGATAATCAGCATAATACTAGGGTAATAATAATAACAACTTAATTGTATATTGTGTGATGATAATAATATAGCATAATAAAATTTTATAAAACCACACACACAATTCCTTTTACCTATAAGTAGCCATTGTTATAGAAATAACGTTACCTAAAATGTAGTTTCTTTGTTTACTATTTCTGTGGTCTGAGGTAACATTCAAAATCAATTATGAGCATCAATAGACTAGAAAAGAAACACTTTCTATATTTTTATAAAGGCTTGACAATTAACTTTAGAAATACTGTTTTGAAATGCAAATAATGTAATTTGCAGAATTTTAATTTTCCAGAAGGTGTTTACTTTTCCAGAAGTTTTACTTGTAAAGCCTTTGTTGTTAAATTATGCGATACATATTGTTCCCATTTTAAATAGTGAGTTAATATTGAGGAAAGCGTTAGCCTACCTGTTGACCTGCACTGAGGACGAACTTCTGAACGACGGCAGACACTCAAGCGAACAGCAAAGGAGATTGAGTCAGCAATTGAGTCTGTCAGTCACTCTGCTCACACCCTAATACTGTGAACTGTGCTGACAGAAGGATGTAATCTCACACAAGTCAAGTCAATGGACACAACTGCACTAATGATCGACTACAAATTACTTTTACTTTGTGAAAAAAATTAAGAATAATAATAATTGTTTCTTTTACTGCGTTTAATAATATTGAGACACAAGATGTGAATTATGGCCGAATGTTTTATTTTGTATTTTGTGCAAACTTGGTGAGGCTCTTCATATCAACATAAACAATATTAGCAATGAATTGAGAATTATTTGGAATCAATAATACAACTGATTATTGACACACTGGCTGTTGTTATTAAGGCCAACATACAAGTATGTTCCAGCATTCTTTTTGTGGCCATAACAATCCACTTGATTTATAAGTCTGGGGCTAGTTGCATAAATATAAACATTATGTTAATAATCAAGTAGGTTTCAAATTAGACCAGTCTATATTTTTATGTTATAAACAGTCTTAGAGAAAAAGAATTGATGCCTAACTATGACTAGTTTTGGCAGTTTATGCAACCAGCCCTTGGTTGCACAATGATTAAATGGACAAATACATAGATATATATGCATAACCGGTATATCTATTAGAACCATTAGGATATCCGGAAAACAGATAAATACGAATGCCCTTTTCCTGAGCAAAAGTTACGTTTTTAAAGTAATTTTTAGGCACTTGTGACTGTTTAAAATAAAAGCTAAAAATGTAACCATGGTTCTATACATTATTCCATTTATACAACACAGATTTATCTTGATTAACATGTTAGCATTCTTTAGAATGTGGTTAAGACAGATCATAATATTACCCAAATCATCTCATATACAGAACATGTCAAGCCAGGTGCATGAAGCTCATCCCTATAAATACAGCATGTGCACTCTCATCAGTGCATCTTAAAATGAACCATTTGACCATATTAACATACAATTATTCGTGATTTAAAACACATCAGCCTCCCTTACAGTAATGCTACATCCAACAATGTTTTTGAAGATAAGCAATCAAATATCTTGAAATAAAATGCTCTTAAAAAAGAAAAGAAAATAAAACTTCATATAATTTAAAATATGTATAACATTTGTGCATACTAAGACCTTTAGGTAATCAGCCCCTCAAAGAATGACTATTGGGTCAAGTAGTGCTTTAGTGGGTGTGTAGATCCAATCCGTCAATCCGTTTCAACAGCTGAACGCAACTTTTCCACATTCAGAAGTACACCAGCATCACATGATTATATTATTGCCTCTATAAAGTCACTGTAAGATTAGACAGAGGAATTAGGCCTTGTAGACCTGATGATTTCCTCCAGCAGCACTAGGAGGCAGAGGCATCCCAGGGTTTGAGCCAGACTGAACATCCACAAAACCCATCCGCTGCCTTCTCTTCCTCTGCTCTGTCATCTAAATCAACCCATACACAACCATTATTTCATATACTGAATCTGAGAAATGAACAGCTCATTATATAGTGCTGACTAAAGCCACAATGAGACATATACCTGTTCTTTTAACTCCATTAACTGGCTAGTGAGGTTCGTGACCACTTTCATGGTGGAGGTGAGCCGATCCTGCAGGTTCCTCATCTCATTCTGTTCTCCATCTCCCTCCGTTACAACTAGAGACATGGCCTGCATGCGTGGGAACCAATCCAGGTTCTTATTCTAACGGGAGGCGACAACAATTCTGAATCAAAACCATTGCAAGGTGAAGCAAGAAAAATATTTAAAAAAAAGTCTTAATAAATACTATAATAGTAATCAAATAATACTAAAATGACACTGGTAATGGCTATTAATACATTGAGTGTGAGCAGTATACAAATCGGCTGGAGCTTTCCATTTTTTAAATGTACCTTTATCATATGCGCCACGTAGCTCTCCGGGCCAGTGTAATCGGTTCTGTTTTTCTCCCGTACCAGCACAATGAAATAGAGGTAGTTCCAGATGTTGTGCTCCAATTTAATGTGTTCCTCGAACGACACAGTCTTGTTGTCAAACTTGTCCCTCTCAAGGCCTGTTGAAATACAAATATAGAGCTTTACTGCTCTATATAAATTGCTTTATATTTGGGTGACTTTTATAAAGCCTGTCAAGTAACACTTGGGTCATATAAAAAAAAAAGGATTATATTTTATAAAAGAAACATTGAGGTATTAAGTGCATCATGACATTCATTTCAGGACAGTTTAACATATTTTACCCCACAAATCCATATCATAATCAGTATTGCATTGCAGTAATTGTGCAATAAATGTGCTTAATTTTCATTAAAAATAATGTTGCAATGCAAAAAGAAAAAAATCTTTTTGGTCCTAAAAATAGGATTAAAAATGTACATACCATACTACTATTCAAAAGTTTGCGGTAAGATTTAAAAACAATTGTTTTCAACATTGATAACAATAAGAAACCAAATCAGAATATTATACTGATATCTGAAGGATCATGTGACACTAAAGACTGGAGTAATTATGTTCATTAAATTCAGCTTTGCCATCACAGGATTAATTGAAATTTGATTTTTCTCTCTCAGACAAGCACTCACATTATCAGGCTGTAGCAAAAACATGCATTTATCCATTGATTTCCTACCACAAATGAAACAGGTGGTCTTCAGTATCTCCTCTTTCTTCTGTTTTTCACTACGTAGGTCAGCGAAGGTGTCAATAATCACACCAAATATCAAGTTGAGAACAATAATGATGACAATGAAGTAGAAGAGAAGGTCATAGACTACACGAGCAGGGAACAAAGGCTCCTGTGAGATGAACAACAATAGCATCAGTTGGGTTCGATTTTGTATTCAAATGTGCACATATTTAATTACGGTTGTGGGTCTCCATACATTCTTAGAGGGTTTGCGCAGAACATCTCCTACACCTCCCCCATTCCTCAGCCCATGATTCAGCACCGTGACGATACACATGAGAAGAGTGTCACATGCTCTCTCTGTGTTGTCTTCATCTTCTGAAAAGCCATAAAAAAAATCATCACAGCCGAGTTCTGACGCCAGTTCAATCATGATTAAATATGGTTTTGTTTTTAATGTTCTACACACCGTCTGATGGTGCAATCATCGCAGTTTCCTCTGTGCAGTCCAATCCGTCTGCACTGCAGCTGCTCATAGAGTTATCTCTACCTGAATAGAGGACAAATTACATCAGAAAGCCGGTCAAAGTGGCATCAATGACTAATAAATTCATCATAAATACTGTATTTGATCCTTTTCTGCAACAACTATTCGGATGGAGGTGTATGCAATTTACCTGTATCTGGGCTGGCAAGCCTGTCCACTTCCATGATGAAGTCATTCCTGAGAAAGAGAAAGCCCACGATGGAGAACAGATAGACCAGGATGATGGCCAAGACAGCAGTGAGGAGAATAGAGCGGCCGTTACGTGTCACACTCTTGATGACGTTAAAGAGAGTCTCCTCACGGTAGATCAGATCAAACAACTGAAGGAGGTAAAAGAGGAACATGAGGTGAAGTAGAGGATTTGTATGTCTTTTAGCTGTAAACCTTCATGTTATAGTCACAGTTTCACAATTTGTTCCAAATGTATTCTGTTTCTACTGGCAAGTACATCATCTCAGTTTTATTTATAAAAGTAATTTGACCTGTATTTGGACAGATTTTTTTGGCAATCAGCAATGCAAATATAAAAAAGCGAAAAAAGCTAGTATATATACACAAATAAAAAAGCTAGTTTATACTACCTTTCAAAAGCTTAGGGTTGATAAGATTTTTTTATGTTTTAGAAAGTAATCCAAGTGAAATGCTTAGCAAGGTTGCATTTATCTGATCACAAAAAAAACAGTAATATTGTGAAATATTGCTACCATTTAAAAATAGCTGTTTTTTAAAATGCCAATTAATACCTTTGATGGCAAAGCTTAATTTTCAGCAGCCATTCAGCATCCAGTCTTCAGTGTTACATGATTCTTATTCTTAACTGATTTGGTCCCCAAGAATAATGTATTATTGTTACAGTTATCACAGTTGAAAACAAATGTGCTGCTTAATATTTTGTGGAAACCATACTTTTCTTTGATGAATCCTCAGTCCTCAACAACATTTATTTGAAAGGATCATTTTTGACACTGTAAATGTCTTTTGATCAATTTCATGCATCAGAATTAATTTCTTTGAAAATATATGAAGAGTTCAGATGCAAAAGCCTCTAAATGCCATTTGAAATTTTCTTCTTTAATGATGATTTTTGTCAAACTTGTATATTTAAGTTCAGTAATTTCACTTAAATAACAATTAATAGGTAATTATCATTGCCATTTAAGTGAAATTACTGAACTTAAATATACAAGCTTGATGAAAATGATCATTCTAGAAGAAAATTTCAAATGGCATTTAGAGGCTTTTGCATCTAAACTCTTCATATATACTATATCTTACTGACCCCAAACTTTTAAACGGTGGTAAATTAACTTTTGACACACCCACCAATATGCTGTAGAAGAGCTCGTTGACGCACAGCCCCAGTGTGCTGGTTACCACATAGGCCAAGTGGTACAGGAATTCTACATCCATTACCATGGCTTTGTAGCCCATGATGAAGGTGCCATTGTTTCCCACAAAGCTCACCACAAACACTATCTTATTGATGAGCTGGTTAAAAAGAAAAAGAGGCACATTTTTTTAATGAAATCAATTCACTTTGATTTAAGCAAACATACAGTATTATGCTTTTCTAAGACTTACATTTAGAGAGCCCAGCAGGATGAGAGTTGGACCGATGCCGAAGTGATAGATGCAACGCAGGGTGATGGCGACGGTGAGGGACTGGAATCCATATCGCCTGGATAACAGGCCCAAAACAGCCAATCCAGCGAAACCCCAGAACAGCATAATCAGCAACGAAGAGTCTATGCTACCTGGAGCCACAAGAGACTGTTAAAACTACATAGAAAAGCAATTTACAAAAAAGTTGTGTGCTTTGAAACTGATGAAAAAATGAGCATTTATTAATATAAAACAGTCA